TGTACTGACCACTACCGCGTCTATTCATCTAATACGTTATCTAAATATAATATAAATATAACAACTGTAGTTTTTCGCACCAACCGACCCACAACAAATCAAATACGGAATGACCGCCCCGTGTCAGGCCGTTCAAGGTCGCAAAAAGGAAACGGCGGGCAGATTTGAAAACGCACTGACTTATTTACCTTGCCGTCGGTTGGTTGTCCTCTGGGTTGCACGAATATCTGGTTTTCTTGTATTTGCGTCTTTTTTGGCTGTAGCAAATTCACAAAATCAATGCCAAAAGCGTTTATTGTGCTTACTGTGTTTTGTAGTGTACAATTTGACTCTTTTGTTGCTACGTAACTTGACCTGGGATACCAATTACCCTACTGAACCTCACTCTCCTTGTTTAAAATTCGTTGGGGTCCGCAAAACTGCGTATTCATTATAAATTATCAGTTAAAGATACTATGAATTCGTGTGAATCCTTGTTTTCTGCAAGAATTAAGACGACATGACGAGTAACCCGTAATTCCTAAATGCTTGTAGTCCTTTCTTCAGTTACTGGAGTATTATCGCATGAAATGGCTGTTTTTTCAGTAATTAACGAGTAATGTTTGTGGTAATTTATGTTCCAGAAACATTTCGGTCGACTTAAGTGAGGCGTTTCAACGCATAATACTGAGAAGGCGTTTTGGAAACTGGATTGAATTCTATGGTGTGTTTAAGGAGTTCCAAAAAGTATGGATGCATAATTCCATCCCTTTTCAGACCACCCGTACACATAACATTCACGGCGAAAGTAAACTGCTAAAGGACGTGCGATTTAAATACAGTTTTGTGGTGTTATGAACTAGATGCAGGCACTTGCGAGTGTAATTGTCGAACATTTATGGCTTGTCGATATCCCTGACGTCATATAATACTGACATATGTAAAAAGACCAACTCTTACAGGTAAGCTTAATCAACTACGAAATAAACTAATTAGCTCATCACATACTTAGACCATGCAACCGATGGAAGTTAAATAGCACGCATAACTTCCATTATAATACAACATCATTACCCAGACGGAGTGAAGAGTATATACGAATCCAAAGAAGCCAGAAAGTTCATAAACAACAGATAGTTGAAAGATATGGTGAACACTTCGCCATGGTGGTGGAGAAAAAAGTAGACAATTATCACTTAAAAATCAGTAATTAGGTAAGACTGCCATTTCTCTTCATGCAGTCCTATTTACGATCAGTATATTCGGATGAATAATTGGAGTGGCATTGTTTCCTAATCACATGGTCTCCGGAATCAAGCATATAATAACTAAAAGGATGTAACACTTGGAGAAGGTCGGAAGTGGTGAACGTGGAGATATTCATTCAATCGAATGGCATGAGTCAGTGTTGCAGACGCGCTCATTATGTTTAACCTATTTATATTCACATTAAATATATTATTCTATCCCAAGCATAAATGTGTTCTTCAGAAGTACTAAGTATTGTTATTTGTCGCGATACGATGGGTCAGTGTAGATAGTGATGCGATTTTCACTTAAGATCTTACAGACTAGGCAATCAAACGATAAATTTACCGTTATTGGACAACGTCTATTATGAAAGTAGTATTAGTACCTAACTAGACTATACACATACTGAAAAGATTTAAAGTGCGAAAAACTACAGTTGTTATATTTATATTATATTTAGATAACGTATTAGATGAATAGACGCGGTAGTGGTCAATACAAAACACAGTTATCGTCAATGTGTGAATTGTTTCTCCGCATAAACTTCCATATTAAGAAATTCGCCAAGTTGTTCACCTGCATAGACTTGATTATTACAAAGATTTGAGCCTTTCAATTAGTTGACAGAAGTCATAAGTTGTATAACAAAATGTATGGATAGCTTGCTCAATGCAATTCTGAAAAACAACAAATCAATCGTGAAAGAAAAGATTAAACTTCGTTATCAGTATCAAGTTCCATAAGTAAATGAAATAGCAATTGATAGGATGTACCTGTAAGTGTTTTACTTGCTGTAAACAGTGCTCTTCATTTTCTAACCTTCCTACAATTTCATCTAGTTATTCGGTATTAACAAACAAACGAAGGGACTCACAAACTTTAATTAGTTATATGATATTTGAGAAAAATCCATTTACACCGTTCATAATACTGTTTACATACAATAATGAAATAACTGGTAACCACTATTTAGCGATTACCCGTCAACATGCATTAACACTTTGTTTATGATTTAGTCAGTGATTTCGGATTCTGTTAGCAGAAATTTATATTTTAACCCTATACGAGACATCGTAAAATAGTATTTTCTACAACATGTTTTAGTTACCATGCTCATAACAAACACGCATCGCTTTACTTAAGAGTATTTGGCTAATTTATGTGGCACTTACAGTAATGTTCTACACAATTTCTGTATAAATTCAGAAAGCGGACAGAAAAATCTATCAACGCCAATTGTTACTAACATATTTTTTTCCCACATTACGTAATAACATATCAGTCCAGTTAACAACGATGATACTTATCATGGATTAAACTGTTTACGGCTGTATATTAATAGTTCATATCGTAATGTAGCACGTTATATATTGACGTCCACTTTGAAGCAGGAGCGATCTGAAACAACAACACTACAGTGAGGACCGGTAAGTGCCGTCAAAGTAAGAACACAATGTACTGGTACAACATATATATTTTTAAAATTGAAAGACACGGTTGAGTGCAAAAGGGGAAACTTTCTACAGAATAGTTTTACTCATTGTTCTGCTCGTTCAGATCGCGTAGGGCTTCTTCCTCTATTTCCAGTGCATTTACTCTTTGTTGCCCTGCTATAGAAAAACAAACTTCCATTAGGAACGTCGCATGGAATGATTATTATTACCATTACAAGATTCACGAATAGTTTGACTCTCAATTACAATTTATAAACAACTACTAACACCCACGTTCATCCCCATACAACCAATAAAGGGGAAATAAAGCGAAATTTCCCCTTTCTGTCGCTCTGTTTTTCAAATGTCGCTAAATTGCCGACTTTTACCTTAAATATCCGACGACTTTCCGATTTGCACCCTAAATATCCGACGAATTGTCTACTTTTCTACTACATGCACACCGATGTAATTAAGCGCCCACTTTTAAAACGCTTCTGTATTTACCCCAACCGCCTCCTGTGTTCACCTTCATTCCCACAACATAGCACACGAATAATGTAATGTACGTAATATATGGTATAAGTTCCAAATTTTTATTGAAAACAAAAAGCTTATTATTGTACAACGTCATGAGCACTTGGCAGATGGTAGAGCATCAATGTTCCTGATGTAATTGCAATTGTCACGGACCAGATATTTCACGTTTGTTTCTTTCCATCAGGCCTTTTGGACTATGGAGACTCAAATAATTCTTGTGAATTCTAAAATGTAATGAAGAAGAACGTTACTATATCTAGGAAATTTGTTTTGCACTGTACTTTGTCTCTCATGTCGTGAAAATAACTTTGTGTAGCCATGTCATATAGTTTCGCAAGGTCTTTCTCAGTGACAGATGACGACAGGGATCGATTAGTAAGTGCACCTGAAGTTTAAAAACCTTATTTATCTTACTTCGTACGCAGCCATAAAACCGGCACTTCTGAATCGCTCGTTTTGATGAAGTACCAAGTAACGTGAAATTAATGGCGACTTCAGGTTCCATGATGTAGGACAGAAGATATCGCATGGAGGTTTTAGGATCATCATTCATTAAACGCGTCAACATGGCCATCTGTAATAGGAATGAAGGATAAAAATCATGTTGGGCGGCCTGCTTAAACATCTGGGCTACCTGTTCCTGTCATCTATATATTTCAACAAGTTATCTAATATTGTTTGTTTTAATTCATCATTATGGCTATTAAGGACACAACCTATTCAGGTGCGTTTCTGAAAACTGTACAACTTTTCACTGTAAAAGTTACAAAAGGCCTAATCAGAGATGTCGTGTTTGCTGGGAACATGCAGCAAAAAGAATATACATTATTCATATGTTGATTGACTGAACTGTTGACATCCAACTGGCGATCACTGAATGTTTATCATCAGAAGCAACGAAGAAATAAGAAACGTAAAGATGTTGAAATACTTTATGCTGAGAATTCGATTTTGTACCAAATAATATAATATTGAATAAAGCTAATAATAATAATAAAAAAAAAAAATAAAATCCGTCCCTCACGTGCAGGCGAAAAAGCGACATTTCCCCTTTATTTACGCTTTCGTCCGCTTTCTTCCCCCTTTTTTCGCTTTTATTTCCACTTTATTGGTTGTTTGGGTCACTACCATAATAAGGGAGGTAAGTCATATGTAAATTATTCTACAGCTTGTTTTTGCTTGAAACTGTAATTTTGGTGTATTTTTGACTTGATAAACGATGAATTTCACTTGCCTGAGTTTGCGTTGTTACAAATTACCGAGTTAGGCTGACTAAACATTCATCCAGGTTGTCAGCTCCAAATACGTCAGGCAACCAATAGACTGCAATAAACGCCATGTAAAACGCATAAATATTACAAAAATTAACATGTGACGGAAAAATACTGTGATTAGCCGACAAAAAACGACGTTAGAAATCCGCGACAACATGTAACACATAAGCGAGAATCAATGACATGACTTTTCGACCATGGCCCAACCGACCCACAACAAATCAAATACGGAATGACCGCCCCGTGTCAGGCCGTTCAAGGTCGCAAAAAGGAAACGGCGGGCAGGTTTGAAAACGCACTAACTTATTTACCTTGACCACGCACTGCTTATTCGCTTGTACTCTTTGGCACGTCTCGGTCTTATTTCGATACCACGAGATCGCCAATAAATATACTTGATCTGGACTAGTAAAGCCTTCTGGTTTACGGGCTATCAAGGGAACCAAGTCCTATTTGTACGCGTAATCGAATAGTAGTGGTGATCATAGTCCGTCCACGACTCGACATCCACTACACCTACTTTGGAGGAGAATTTATTTTCAAGGTCGCCAGTAGCTGACCTTTCGAGATGGTTCCTAGTGTGATGTAACATGTACTGAAAAGATACTGACATCGTTCCACAACATTACGCTGTCAGACTAATTGTCGATTCACACAGAACCAGGCTGCTTGTGTGGCACAAAATTTGTCCCTGATCTGCTACATATTGGAAAATAATGTCGTCAACACAGGTAGGTAAAATAAGTCACTTATTTCGTGAATAAAATAGAAATGTTACTTCTGGCTTAATATGTAGACTATGAATAGTTTCATGTAATGATAGCACAAATCATTAGTAAGTAAAACAATTTCCAGCAAACTATAGTTTATGGGAAATAAGTTGTTTCCTAGAGGAAGGTGCACACACAAGTACTTGGATGCTAAAGTTATGAGTAGTTAGGTAATGTTAGAAATTAACCCCTAAAATAACTTCTCTGTTGAATCTTAGTTTGCGAATTGATTAATTTGCCTTGTTATCGATAACAAGGCACCTAATTAAAGTTAGCAAGTATAAATAATATATAGTTCTTTGGACCCAGTTCGTTTTCATGCATTTTGACTTAGACCACATCGCTTAGCCTGTGGTATTTTAAAAATCTAGTAGTAGAAAATGTGTTTGCTGATTACGTGTGCTTGAGGCCATACGTAGGAATTTATTCAACTGGTTCAAAAGGCGGATTCACCTCGTTTCGCAGACTCTCTGGCTATGTACAATTAACCTCTAATTTGATGACCAAGGCGTAGGATAGTGTGAATTTTAGATAATTATTCAAGAATAACCATTTTAAAGTCACAAGTCTAAGTTATTCGCTGGTTTGTCAGTCAGTCAGTCACAGCGTAGGACTTCGTACGTACGTATATCAGTTCGAGCTGCAATACCACATTAGCACAGAGATGCAGTTGTTTATTCAAATCCCATAGTGGTAGAAGTAGTAAGAGTATAAGCATTAGTGTGAAAGATTAGGGTTTGAAGATGTTATTCAAGGAGTATAATACAATGAAATAAATTTGGAAAGAGAAAAAGGATAGTAATATAGAGAATTCAGAAGATTAGAATTTGGTAGAACACAAAGAGTGGATGCACCTTCGCCATTGCAAACGATTTTGAGCCATGTCATTCAAGGTCTCTAACCATCGGTTGTTATCATCTCGCGAATCCCAACCAGGTAGTCTACACCTACCAGCATGGCTCAGTCCACTTGTCAGTGACTTCATGGATTTATGCCATGTTTTGGTCTGGCCGCCCCTAGATTTCTTCCAACCTGCTCCTACACTATAAAGCACTGCACGTCGGTGGCTGGGCATACGTAACACATGTCCCAGCCATCTCAACTGGTGAAGTTCCACTACTTCATCAATCGACTTCCCATCCTTACCTAGTACCCGTTTCCTAACAACTGCATTACTTAATCGGTGGTCCCAGGATATACGAGCAATGCTTCGAAGACACCTATGAGCGAACACTAGTAGCCTACGAATATCCTCTACTCTTATCGGCCATGTTTCACTTCCATAAAGTAGGACGGAACGGACTGCTGCACAGTAAACCCGTCCTTTTGTTGCTAGATGGATATCTCGCTTACGCTATAAATGACGCAAGTTGGCGAGAGCTAGACGAGCCTTCTGTATCCGTGCTGAGATTTCGTCACACGCCAGATCACAAGGGCTGATGAGACTCCCAAGATAAGTGAAGCTGTCAACACGCTCAACTACTTCACTCCCTATCATTAGTTCAGGTGTCGGTGCAACCCAATCCTGAAGTAACATTTTGCACTACGAGGGAGAGAATCGCATCCCGAACATGCCTGCATAGTTGCTTATAGTGGTCAGAAGACTGCATTTTGTCAGCGTCTTCACCGAATAAAACTATGTTGTCGGCGTATTCTAAATCAACAAGTTAGCCTCCCGGTAAAAGTTCAACTCTTGGAAGTTTAGGTGATGAAAGTGTTATCTCTAAAAGTATGTCAACTACAAAGTTAAACAAGAATGGGGAGAGTGGACAGCCCTGACGAACACCACTTGAGGTAACCAATTCTGATGACAGTTCGCCATAGGCTCTAACTCGACCAGATGTGTTCGAGTAGAGAGCCTTTATGAGGTTAATGTACTTCTTTGGTACTCCTTTCAGTCACAAACACTGCCATAGAACCTCACGATCGACTGAGTCAAATGCCGCCTTAAGGTCAAGAAATACTACTATTGTGGGACGTCTGAATTTGTGTCTATGTTCTAGGACCTGACGTAGTGTAAATATCTGGTCTATGCAACCATGTCCAGGTCGAAAACCAGCCTGGTTTTCTCTAGTCTGCTCTTCACGAGCTTTGGTTAGGTGTCCAAGTATTATTGAGGCTAATATTTTAGACACTATATTAGTCAAACTGATCCCTCTGTGATTGTCACAGGAGGACTTTTGTCCTTTCTTATAGACTGGCACAATCAGTGATTGGGACCAGTCAGATGGAATTACGTCCAGTTCCCAGATTCTACCTAAGACCTCAGTCAATCTGGTTGCTAATACTGGACCACCATCCTTAAAAATCTCAGGGGTAAACTTGTCAGGGCCTGCGGCTCTCCCTCGCTTTAGATTTCCTATAGCTTTTTCAACCTCGTAGAGACTTGGAGGACTTACATCAATTTGCCACTCAGGACGACTAGGGATCGTGGGTAACTGAAGTGTGGCTGAAGGCCAGTTGAACTGATCCCTAAAGTGTTCTGCCCATCGATCCAATCTCCTGGATTGAGAATGAACGATATGCCCATCTTTATCTGAGGTAGTTTCGCTAATAGTTGGGTTTCTAATGCCGGTTTCTTTAATAAGTCTGAACAGCTGTCTGCTGATACCTATTGCCGCTGCCTTTTCCATCTCTCTTGCTTTCGCTACCCACCACTGCTCATGATCATTGTGTAGGCTTCTTATTAGCCTTCGCTTAAGCTGACTCCGCTCTTCGTTATGTTCAGAGCCAGGTTGGATGAGTTTTCGGGCATCTATCAGTGTGGTAGATGCTGCCGAGATCCATTGTTTCTCCCTGACCTTATGGCTTACCTTACTAGCGGATATCACTGCTGCTTCCACAGCTTTTCGGATGTCATTTCACCCTGCTTTGGGGTGGGCACAACTTACATGTCTGCCTAACTGTTTTTCCTGTTGTTCCTGAAATATGTTCTTAGCTTGCTTATCATTAAGTAGAAACCATAGGGGCTTCCCTGCAGTCTTTCCTACGTCCAGTAAGTCGCAGACAGATACGTGCTCGCACTAGAGCATGATCTGAATCTAAACATGTGCCCCAGAATGAGCGACAGTCTTCTATCGAGCTCCCTCATCGGTGGCTGATAGCGATGTGACCTAATTGGGTCCAACGTTGGGACGAATTCGGGGGTCGCCATGTCAAAAGATGTTTTTTCTTATGCTTAAAGTTAGTATTTGCAAGAAATAGGCGGTTATCTGAGCACAGCTGCAACAGACGGTCGCCATTATCTGTTCTTTTAGCCATGACACCATAAGATCCACCCAGGTGTCTTTCCCTTTCACTTAGTTTACTTACTTGAGCATTAAAGTCACCTGCTACTATTACTACATCAGAACGCCTAGCTTCTCGGAGAAGGTCAGAAAGTTTCCTGTAGAACTCATCTTTTATATCGTCTGAGCTGCAGGCAGTGGGAGAGTAGGCAGAGACGACGAAGAGGCAACGACGAATTTCCCTATCTTTCCGGGTCCTTACTGATCCGTTTAGTCGGACAGTGCATAGACGACTGTCTACTAGGATCCAGTCTAAAAGAGCTAGTTCTGCCCTAGAACTTAATGCTATACCTACTCCTGCGAGGCCACGGAAAGCAGCATCAGGGCTTCCAGATACACGAAGCGTGTATCGAGATGGTTCTTTATTTTGATTAAATGAAGTCAAATGAATGACACTACTCGGATCTTGTATGCGCGTTTCGGAGACGCAGCACACATCGACGGTGTAAGATTCTAGAGTCCTAGCTAAGGAAACCTGTCGTCCTATTTGGCACAGCGTTCGGACATTAAAGGTTCCTACATGTAGTTTAGAGCGTGGTTTCAGGAGACCAGGAATAACGTTCCGTGTACTTGAATCGTTTACCCTAGCGGTGCTAGGTGTTAAAAGGACGTGGGAAGGGTTAGTCGTGGATATAAGAGAGTTATTAGGTGTAGGAAGAATTCGAAAGTGACCAACTTGGTCTCGTGTGCAGTTACGGGTATGAGGACTAGTGTCACTTCCCGGCTGCCCACACCGTGGAAGGGTATTTCTTGAGGGACCTGAAAAAGAAGTTGGATTAGTGTCGGTCTTAACGACCTAGGAGCGTGACCGCAGTGCCCAAGGGACAACTCCTTGAGGTCGGTCACGCACGGCCTTTTTGTGGGGGATTTTTGACGTGTTAGCTCCGTTTTTCAAAGGACCTTATCGCCGGAGACGGAAATCCGTGGGATAAGACGAGGTGTGTATTTTTAAGGCCGACCTTTTCTAACCCCACCCCTCCTTGTGGGAAGGCAGCATCGCTGTCATGCTGGTTGTCTGAAGGAAACACCTTACTGCCGTCACACCTCTGTACAGTCGACAGTACGACTTCGCCTTCGGACCTTGGGATTGCTGCTCTTAGTCTTACCGCTCTTCAACCGACCTGTCTGGCATGGTAGGACCTCGAGGATCGATTGTTCCAGCCAGCACAGCTCGATTGGTTCATCACGATAGGCAAGCACAACCACCACGTCAAGGTAGCAGCAACGGTCGGGATCGCTGGTTTGTAATGAAAATTCACCCATTAAGATTTAAATCTGTCCTCTTTTTCGTGGCAGTCAGTGATTTTACTTCTGATCTATATAATTCATCACTGAAATTTTAGGACTTAATAGGTAATAACTGAACGATGAATAAAAAAAATAGAGCAATGTAACATCGGAAACCGTGTTCAATTCATAACCCGACTACTCAAATGGTTATAGAGAGGTTCGAGCTTGTAACACTGCAAGATATATAGGATTGTTATTTTTACCATTATAATTGTGCATTTACCCATTTTATATCTCTAGATACGAAACTACGTGGCGGAACTTTCTAATTCAAAGGATCAATTCAACACTCTTTCTAGTCAGTCCAGTGAGAAGCTTAAAAAGATTATACAGACTGTCCAATCTTATCAAACACGTATGGAGCCGTTAAACAAAAATATGGAACAACTTCAGATTTTACAACGAAGTTAGTTTTATATTCCATCTACACATTTTATTCTCCACTTGCAATTATTTATTATTACTATTATTCACTACGAATGAATGTTGATCAAAATTACCAATCATAAATATATGTCTAGCTATTACACGCAGATTTCAGTGGAGAGAGTCAGATACTTCACTTACTGAGTCGTCACTCATTTCATCACGTATTCGGGACTTACTTCATCATGAGACATCATAACCCTTCTAATTCCCAAGACAGAGTTTAATTGGTTTGAATTATTTTTTCTGGTTAGCGTCTTTTCAGCGAGTTCGTTTTCTACGGGATGAGGTCGCTAAACGCATGCTCAACCCTCCTCCTTTATTCAGGCTTGGGACCGACAGTAGCCCTAGAGGGGCTGCAGGTGGAGTTCGGAACTACCCTGTCTAATTCGTTTTAGTCAACCTTAAGTATCAACAATCTCCAGGTTGAGGTAGTAAATACTGAACTGTAGAGCAAAATATTTCCTTGTTCTCACACACCTACTAGAAGATATTTCCCTTCGGAAATTTTGGCCAAACATCATCATATGTTTTGTCTGACCTTAATATAGTGATGTTTGAGTAAGAATTTCAATAAGAGCTAGTCTGGAGGGACTATAATTTATGAACGAACCAGTCAGGTAAAAGATAACAGGTCTCGGATTTCGGCGCGAAATTCACTCATCCATTTGGCTAAATAGAGTTTTGGCATTATAACTGATGTCAGTTCGTGATGAAAACCCTAAATCTAGTTTCTATCAGTCAGTCAGCTACAACGTAGGACCAGGCACATTTATGCATCGGTCCAAGTTGCCATACCTCGTTAGCACAACAAGATGAACACCGGGTTCATAGAAGTAATTAATTTAGTGGTGGTAGTAGTATATAAATTATAGGTTGTATATAAGGATATAGTACAGGAAGGAGTAGAGATATGAAGCAATTTTAGTCTCAAGGTTTAAAGGAAGATAAAGAGTGTATACACCTACGCCATTGTGATCGATTCTGAGCCATGTCACCTAGAGTCTCCAACCATTGGTTACGATAGTCACGCGGACCCCAACCAGGTAGTCTGCATCTGCCAACATGGCTCAGGCTAGAAGTTAGTGACTTCAAGCTCTGATGCCACGTTTTTGCTTGGCCACCCCTAACTCTCTTCCAACAATCCCCTACACTAGTCATCATAGCGCGTCGTGGTAATCGGTGTTCAGGCATACGTAACACATGGCCCAACCATCTCAGTTGATAAAGATTCATCACCTCATCAACTGATTTACCATCGTTCCCTAATACCCTGCGTCTAACCTCACTATTACTTACCCGGTGATCCCAGCAGATGCGTGCAATATTTCTAAGGCATCTGTGGTCAAATACTAGTAACCTACGAGTATCTTCTACTCTTAATGGTCATGTTTCACAACCGTAAAGTAGAACAGAGTGAACTGCTGCGCAGTATACTCGTCCTTTAATTGATAGATGGATATCTCGTCTTCGCCATAGGTGACGTAAGTTGGCAAAAGCCAAACGAGCCTTTTGAATCAGTGTTGAGATTTCGTCAGACACCAACCCATTAGGGCTGATCAGACTTCCAAGATAAGTGAAGTTCAAAAATGAACAATATTTGAGCGAACAATTGTTTTCAATAACTTCATCATCAGGCTCTACAGTTATAAGTCCATAATTATAATATTTTACAAAGTCCAAAATGAGGCATGTATTAATTAATTTGACAATGTTATATGTTAAAAATGGTAAACGTTTGCATCTGTTACGACATATATATACTTTAAAATTGTGTTATTTGTAAATTAGAAAGGTCATTTAATAATAAAGGTCAAAGTGATTTGTAATCAAGTGTCTAGTCACAATCGATTTAATAGTAATTTCGAAAAAATGAAAATGCCAAAAGAAATTGTGTGAATAAAGTGCATAGTAGGAGAATTTCATCTTGTCAATTGAGATAATAATGATAAATAGTAATAGTAATAATAATAAGATTGTTGTGTGAATATAATATGTAATAAAAGGGGATGTTATCAAGATAATTACGATAAAGGAATTGGGAATGATGGATGTGAAGATTAAGATAAAGGTGATCAACAAAGAAAAAAAAAGGGGGGGGGGAGGTTTATAATATTTAGTTTAGGAAACCGGTGATCCAGTCGTAGGCCAAGGTAAACATAGTGCCTGGATATACTTTTTTTGGATGCATAAATTTGGTTTTCTAGAGTTGATCCAGATGGCTTCGGCTATGTAAAGTAATCGTAATCTAGCTCTTTGAGGTAGAGTTTTCGGAACTTGATATAAAACAGAGAAGGCTTCTTCTATTTTGATATGATGTTCACTGTCTACCAAGTGAGAAAGGATGGCGCTGTTAATGGATTTAGTGACTCCTTTTCCCAACCATGCTGGTACATGTTCACGAATACGCAAGGATAAAGCCCTCTGAGTACGGCCTATGTAACTAGCTCCACAGGAGCAGTTGAATTGGTATACACACATGGAAGAGCCCATCTTCGGTAACTTATCCTTGATTAATTGTGTGAGTACTGGTTTAGTTGAGAAAGTGACGTGTAGCTTAGCGGCGTAAAACGTCCTTTCAACCGATCTTTTCAGTCGGCGTGTTAGAATATCACTCGCTATGTCACCTTTGAAGTCCAGTTTCAAATACAAGGTTTTTTTACTCACTGTTTCACAATTTCTTCTTATTTTAACAGTACTTTCTACTAGGTATTTCTTAACGAACTTATCCGGGTAGCCATTCCTTCGCAATGTATTTTTCAGTATATCTATTTCACTCTCAACAGTGTCCTCAGAACATAATAGCTTGATTCTGTGACTGAGACATTTAACCAAATTTGTTTTATACTGAAGAGGAGTGAAGCTTTGGAAGTGAAGTTGTCAACGCGTTCGACTACTTCACTCCCTATCCTTAGTTCAGGTGTTGATGCAGGCCAGTCCTGGAGTAACAATTTACATTTGGATGGGGAGAATCGCATCCCAAACATCCTGGCATTATTACTGAGTTCCAACAGAAGACTCTGCATTTTGCCAGCGTCTTCACCAAACAGGACTATATCATCTGCGTATTTTAAGTCGATAAGTGGACCTTCTGGTAGGAGATCAATTCCTGTAAATTCAGTCGAAGAGAGTGTTATTTCCAGCAACAGATCTATAATGAAGTTAAACAAAAATGGGGATAGTGGACAGCCTTGACGGACACCACTTGAGGTTGTAAAATCATATGACAGTTCGCCATAAGCTCTCACTCGACTGGTAGTGTTCGAGTAAAGAGCCTTCACAAGGTTTATGTACTTCTCAGGTACACCTTTCAATGACAGACACTGCCACAGAACCTCTCGGTCTACAGAGTCAAATGCTGCTTTCAAGTCAAGAAAAACTATCATTGTCGGACGCCGATAAGCGTGTCTGTGCTTGATGGTGAATATGTGGTCGATACAGCCACGGCTAGGTCTGAAGCCAGCCTGATTTTCTCGTGTTTGCAGTTCACGAGTCTTAGTTAGGCGCCCGATAATTATTGAGGCTAGTATTTTAGATGCTATGTTGGTCAGACTAATCCCTCTATGGTTATCGCAGGATGATTTTGACCCCTTTTTATATATTGGGACAATCAGTGATTGTGACCAGTCGGATGGGATTACATCCGTCTCCCAGATTTTAGCCAGAATATTAGTCAACCTAATCGCTAAAATCGGACCACCATATTTAAAGACCTCTGGAGCCAATCCATCTGCTCTTCCTCGTTTCAGATTACTTATAGCCTTTTGAACTTCAAGTAGGGTCGGGGGGCCTACTTCAATGTTCCATTCAGGTTTTCTAGGAATAGTGGGTAGTTGTGCAGTAGCTGAAGGCCGGCTAAACTGCTCCTTAAAGTGTTCCGACCATCGTTCTAAACGTTTGGGTTGAGAGCAGATAAGGGTTCCGTCTTTTTCGGAGATTGTCTCACTTACACTTGACTTCTTAATTCCGGTTTCTTTTATTAGTCTGAATAGTTGCCTGGTGTTCCCTACAGCCGCTGCCTTTTCCATCTCTTTTGCTTTCGTTGCCCACCACTGCTCACGATCGTTCCTTAGACTTTTAGTTAACCTAGATCTGATCTGTTTACGCTCTTCGTCATGTTCAGAGCCTGATGGGATGAGTTTACGCGAATCCATCAGTGAAATAGACTTAGAAGAAATCCATTGGTTTTTTGGAGCCCTATGGTTTAAATGACTAATAGATGTAATTGCTGTTTCCACAGCTGTTCGTATGTCTTTCCAAGCAGCATCTGTGTCAGTCTTGTTTACAGAACTGCCTAGATGTGAACTCAGTTGTTTCTGGAATTCGCATTTGGCTTTCTCGTCCTTCAGTTCAATCCTAATGGGTCTTCTTAGTGTACTTTTCCTGCGTCCATTGAGGCGCAGACAAATGCGCGCTCGTATTAAAGCGTGATCAGAGTCTAAACAAGTATTTCAATAGGAGCGACAATCTTCTATTGAGCCTCTCCAACGATGACTGATGACAATGTGGTCTATTTGAATCCATCGTTAGTTTGGTGCAGGTGGTCGCCATGTTAGACGATGTCTCTCCTTATGTTTAAAATTAGTGCTTGCTAAAAATAAACGATTGTCTGAGCATAGTTGCAACAGACGATCACCATTATCGGTTCGTTGAGCCGGAATACTAAAACACCCACCTAAATGTCTTTCTGTTTGATTCAAGCTACCTACCTGGGCATTAAAGTCACCCGCTACGACTACTATGTCTGAGCACTTAGCTTTCTGAAGAAGCTCAGAGAGTTTTCTGTAAAAGTCATCTTTCACTTCATCATGGCTGCAGTCGGTGGGAGCGTAGGCAGAAACGACGAAAAGGCAACGACGTGTGTCCTTATCCTTCCGAGTTCTTACGGAGCCATTCAGCCGGACAGCACACAGGCGACTGTTAACGGGGATCCATTCTAATAGTGCCTGTTCTGCCCTTGTACTTAGTGCTATGCCTACGCCTGCAAGTCCGCGAGAACTAGCCAACGGGTCGCCAGATACACGGAGGGTGTATTTCGTTGGCTGTCCATTTTGGCGAGGTGAGGTCAAGTGAATGATCACACTGGGATCCTGTATGCGTGTTTCGGAGACACAGCATACATCAATGGTACGAGATTCTAGGGTTTTAGCTAAGGAGGCCTGTTGACCGATTTGGCATAGGGTACGTACGTTGAAGGCTCCAATGTGTAGTTTGGAACGAGGTTTTAGTAGACCTGTAACAGCGTTTCGCGCACTAGAATCGTTGGCCATGGTGGCACTTGAGGAGGAAACCGAGAGAGGAAGTTTAGTGTTGAAAGTCAAGGTAGAAGGAATAGTAGGAATTGAAGAAGGAGATTGATTATGAATACGGTGGTCTTGAGTGCTGTTAGAGGTATGAGGGCAGTTATCACTTCCCGGTTGCCCACACCGTGGAAGGATTCTTCTATAGGTACCTGAAAAGGAAATTGGGTTAGAAGTGGTCTTAATGACCTGAGAGTAAGACCGCAGTGCCCAAGGGATAACTGCTTGAGGTCGGTCACACACGACCTTTTTGTGTTAGCTCCGTTCTTAAAAAAACCTTACCGCCGGAGACGGAAATCCGTGGGATAAGGCGAGGTGTGCATTTTTAGGGCCGACCTTTTCTAACCCCACCCCTCCTTGTGGGAAGGCAGCATCGCTGTCATGCTGGTTGTCTGAAGGAAACACCTTACTGCCGTCACACCTCTGTACAGTCGACAGTACGACTTCGCCTTCGGACCTTGGGATTGCTGCTTTTAGTCTCACCGCTCTTCAACCGACCTGTCTGGCATGGTAGGATTTTGAGGAACGATTGTTCCAGCCAGCATAGCTCGATTGGTTCATCACGATAGGCAAGCCCGACCACCACGTCAAGGTAGCAGCAACGTTTTCTATCTTTGACCATCAACTCTAAATCATAGTTCTGATTCTTCACACTGGTTTATAACCCTCATTCGATCATAGTTATTAGGTGGACACTCTAAAGTTCAGTTTAGGGTCACTTAAAGGTCGTCCATAAACTATAGTTTCACCATCAGTATTACTGTTAAACTGCTGCTGAGGTCTCATACCATATTTTTTCATAAGCATGTGGGTTTTAGGCAAAAGAATCAAGTTTTAGTGAATAAACTTAAAAATAACATTCACCTTAACAAGTTAGAAATGGTAAATTTGTACTGTTTATTTGATAGACTAATGTGACATTCTGAGTTGCTTTTGCGTGACTGAGCTTTTTGGTTTTGTCAACCCGTAAAATAACATGCTAAGTGATTTATTTCCTAAACTTTTTACTTTGTACAGATTTAGAGTCCTGTCGATTAAAGTTAAGTCAAGTGCAAGAGTATTACCGCACCGGTCGTGAATTGGAAAATACTATCAGACAAGGGTAATTTAAAATTATATATATATATATATATATATATATATATATATATATATATATATATATATATACTTCACAACGGAAGAAAACTGATTTTATCTTCTTCCTACTTGTAGACCAACAGTTTATACTGATAAATTTTTAAAGGCTATGGAACGTATTAAAGATGCATTGGCTTATTTTCAAGAGAATAATCCACAAGATGTTGAATTTAGTCGATTGGTAAGGGAATATGGAGTATTATTAATTAATTTTCTGTACAGCTAATTGTTTTCTATTGCATTTATGCTGTTTGTATTTAATTATTTATGTGTACGTATCTTCAATTTTTTCTGGCTCCTAGACATCGTTGTATTCAATTGGTTTAGGAAGCTTGGAACGTGAATTTGATGGTTTATTAAGACAAACTTTCTGTCCTATGGGTGATGCTATTTTAATAAGATTAATGGATCAAAAAGGTGTGTGTTTTTATTTGTTTCAAATGAAGATCCTAATTTTTTATTATATTTAGCATTTCAGTATAACCCATCCCTCAAGTGTGCTTCTCTCTCCTCATTAGTTCTGTTAATATTTTGGGAGAATAGACATGAGTTATGAATCTAGCACTTTCTTGAGCTAATTATCAGACTGCCTCATTCATTATTTATGTTGCACTTCTTTTAGTTCAGAAAATAGTTGTTCTCTGGCAATTTTTTGTTATTCTGGATATACTAACCATCTAGTTCGAATTCGATATTAGGTTGGAGATAATCTGTAGTATCTTATTAATGTAATCATGTAATAGTCATCTACTATTAGACGGAAACATAATGATTCCTTCCCTTTAGATGGAGCTAAGATAAGTTCACTTTTGCAAACCGTCTTAGCCAAATTATTCATATTTACGGTGAGTTAGGAGATACTGTTTTTCCTTATGAGACCACTAAACTAGAACTTTTAATAATTACATCTAATATTACTGATTCTGATGGATTTCCAACCGTTTATTTACTAACTCACTTTTCATATTGTGCTAATAATAATAATAATAAATCTTGTTTACAAACTTGGAGTGTGCATATTATTTCATTGTTTTGTAATCTAAACGGCGTTTTTGTAATGTTAACGTGATTTTTATTCGAATTTGGTGTTTTTCTTTAAGAATGGTAGACTTCGACTGTGAACTTGGTGTTTATTATTCTCACACCCTCTAGTTGATTAAGTTTAGGTGACCATCGTTACTTCAACTCACAATGTATAGTTAATAACTTGAAGTACTCAATTTTTAATCAAAATTCCACAGGTATCAACTTTCGATCTACTTTAGTATAGGCAATTTGACTGGGTCGTCTAACTTTTTCACACATTCCTACTTTTAAACAGGTGGGTCGTATCCAACTATCCACTTGTTTTGCTAAATCATACAGATATATCTGATGACTTACTAACTTCCGAACATGGGCCTGTTCTATCCAAGGTTTATTAGTCCAACTCCTTAAGTTTGGTCCTGCTTGACAGTCACTTTTCTGCTGTATGGTTTTATAATTTACTGAAAAATTAAATAGCTCATGCACCTAATATTTACTTACAACTTCTCTATTACTATTAAACTAATGCAATTCAGTATGCAAATTCAGGTTTATGTATTCAGCTTCAAGCCATACGCTTTTGTGTGTAGGAGCTAATGATATTATGTGGCTGTTGGGTTTAGTCATAAAGTAATTCATTCACGATCATTCTGTCGACAGCAAACTGACTTAATTTACACTAAACCTTTAAATTTTAGTCTCTGACAAAGAATCAGGGGATGGTTCAATAACTGAAGATACAGAACAAATAGAGGATATCCCAAATAATATGTTGAATAGTTTACGTTTTCTTGCTAAATGGATGAGTGAAAATCAATCATTTGTAAACAAACCACAAAGTATATCACAAGGATGTTTGGCAAAATATTGTGAATGCCGTCGTGAACTTATCCGTCTAAATTTAGTAAGGTAATTGTATGTTAACAGTGTGTTTCATTTTATTGATTGACACAATTTCGTCTATAAAGTATACTGATAGATTTCCCTACTTAACTCGCTGTATAATCAAATTTTTCATGGCTGGAAAAGGCAGGCTTTAGTGTTGTGTGATATAATATTGTATAAGCTGGTCTTATCAACTTCTGATTTATCATACATGGAAAATAATAAAGATGATAATCGTATTTCTGGTAGATCCGATCAGTGTCTCAATAGTTGAGGCGTTAAACTTTCAAGCGCTTAGTTGGAGGTTCGATCTTCTGTAGTATCACCGGCGCTTACAGTTAGAATGTGAGTTGAAGCCGAGTATGTGAGTCTGCGCGTGGTAGGCAATAGAAATTCGAAGAAGTTTCAATGTAGTCATTTTAGATAAGTGGGGAAAAATTTGTCTCATCGTTTAGGCCAGGATTCATTAAATGAAACCTAACTAAATATGGAAATCCAGATTTCTTTTGTGCCACAAGTTCATTAAATTTTCTAATTAATTTGTATTATTTTATACCCATGGTCCCCGTAAGTTAATAATGTATTATTTTTGACTGGCCTAATATGTACGGGAATACAAATCCATTTAAAGCAAAATGCCAATATGGTTTGATCAATGTTTGGTAAATCGATCTCAATAAATTTTAATATCTAAGACTATAAAGAATATATTCTATTGATCACATACAGCACGAATAAGGATCGTCGTATAAATGAAGAACTCTGGACGAAGCCACTAATATATCTGTTGTTTAGGTGCTTAGCGGTCAAAATATTTTGTTCGTAACTGTTAGGTTTCAGACTTGGACTTCGCTTTAGATAATTTGGATGGGTCAATCGTTCAGTATCATCAAGTTTTGACGTTGATTCGTGTGGAGTAATATCTATGCCGTTCATTCTGTAGTACAGTATGTTTTAGTGCTTAATATATGATACAAAAACATGTTTTATTATTGATACTACTATTTAACGAATAGTTATTTTCCCTTACTACATGGAATATTTTCAGAGTACGAGAATTATTAAGAAAAGCTGAAAATCCATCACCATCATCTGGCACAGTATCTGTAAGTTTACTTATTGTATTCATCTTTACTAACTTTTATTGATTATATATGGATTTTTCAAAAAGTGTTATACTTTTTGCATATTTATTTCTAATTATTTTAGAAACCAGGATTTCTGCCGCCAAACGTACGTGGTCGCACTAAACGGTTAGTATTTAACTCTCTCCTGTAGTATTGTACAATTACTCTACTTTATAGCATGATGTGGTTAATTTTTTCTCTATACTTCTTGTATTACATGAAATTACTTAACAAAATTTAGAAATAAATTGTTAGCTGTCATATGCAGATACTGTGACCTAATTATTTTATTTGAAAGGATGATCATCCTCATATTTATGAATTAATCTCTTCTCCGCCTGTGGTCCTTCTAGGGTTACTGTTGGTCCAAAGCCTGGATAAAGGATGAGGGTTGGGGATAGGGTCAGTACCCATATCCCGTAGAAAATAACCTTGCTAAAAAACACTAACCAGAATAAACAATTTAAACCATTTTAACTCTGCCCTCCGAGTTGAAGAATCTTCATTCAGAAGAATTGTGACGCTTCATGGTGAAAGTCGAGAATCTGTAAAAGTCACCAGTTCGATACCCCTTTTAACAACCAGAGCAATAAGTAATATAGTTACATGGAATGTACAGACATTGTGTGAAACCAGGAGGACTAATCAAATAGGTGTGGAAATGAGGAGATTCAGTTTGGCCGTACTCGGAATAAGTGAAACCCACTGAATTCAGACTGGACAGAAAAGATTAGATTCGGTAGAGGTACTACTGTACTCTGTTCACGAAGAAAAAACACTCCATACACTCAGGGGTTCGCTGTGCTACTATTCAGAGAAGCACGTAAAGCACTTATAGGTTGGGAGTCTCATGGACCCAGGATCATCAAAGCAACCTTCAAAACAAAGAACGAGGGAATCATAATGAATGTTGTTATCCAACGTTATGCACCCACTAACTATAGCACTGATGACGATAAAATTCAGCTTTATGGGAGGCTGCAATCGATCGCAGCGAAGTGCTCGGGAAAGGGCCTGATCATCTTGATAGGAGAACTGAACGCCAAAGTCGGATTGGACAACACTGGATACGAAGATACCATGGGACGGCATGGACTGAGAAAGGGGAACGAGGATGGCGAGAGATTTGCAGGCTTATGTGCATTCAACAAATGGTTATAGGTGACACTATATTCCCTACAAACAGATACACAAAGTTTTGATGTTGGTTTGTTCTCTGAGCTGGATGGTTTGGTCGTGGAGCTTTCATCGTCCTTCTGAACGACATCATCAGTACAAACTTCGGGTAGAACTGAAGTGTTTGAATTTCTCCACATGTGATTCACAGCTTGTCCTCTGCACATCAATGTTGATTGGTTCTTATTGACCTTAAATCTGTCATTGTTTGTTTCTTTGTTTTGGTTGTATCTCCTATTGGTTTGATTTTTGTTCCTATGTTGCTGCATAATTTTTTTGATTGGTCGGTAGATTGGATTGATATCAATATGTTTGTTTATTGCTGATTGACCTGAGTGCCAAGCCTCTAAAAATTCTCTGGTATTTTTGGAATTGCCTCTGTCCAAAATCTGCACATTTTCCCAGTCGAATGTATGTCCGTAGTTGTCCACGTGTATTGATATGAGTGAAGAAATGTCGTGGCGTTTGACTGCTAATTGGTGTTCATGTAGGCGAAGTTTGTGCTGATGATGTCGTTCAGAAGGACGATGAAAGCTCCACGACCAAACCATCCAGCTCAGAGAACAAACCAACATCAAAATCACCCACCTGAGCTACAAATCTCCACCATCTCAGATACACAAAGTTATATGGATCTCACCGGATCACAATACAGAGAGTCAGATAGATCATATTTGCATCACTAAAAACTCCAGATAGTCAATAAAGGATGTGAAAGCTAAGAGAGAAACTGACATAGCTTCAGATTGGAGCCGCTGTTGGTAAACAAACCTAGCTGATTTTTTTAAGAGAACATAATTTTTAAATCTTTTGTTTTTGTTAACACTTCATCTAATGTTTCAACTAACATCAAACGATTTATGATCACCTCTAATATACCGACGATGTATAAATCAATAATATCTGACTCAGTGATTTAGTCATTTATTTGGTTAACGGCTGGGTACAAGCTCCACACATCATCAATATTCATTCATCCAGGTACAAACTACGCTGTTAGCACAGTAGATGTTTTCAAACCCTAACGCGTAGATCTTCCTTAGACCACGAAGTAACAATTCATGAATGTTATTTTTGTCACTACGCGTACTACGAAGACAGTATGTAGAAATAACGTATACTAAGTTGGATTATCATTGATTGGGCTATACAAATTAATTATACGTATACTAAGATGGGATTTGTCAAATAGTGTTAGAGAATTTTAATGTTGTTGCTTTCTTTAAGCTTGCTGGTATAGTTGTGGGGCTTTCATTGTCATTCTAAACACAATTATCAGTATATAGCTTTTCGGAGTTTATGCTTATTTTCAGTAATCTTTCCGATGACATTACATACGAATGGAGTTTACAAATTGCTGATATTTCAGGAATATCAACAATGTTTTACCAGTTTTTCCATGTTTATTTGATTTTATTTAAGCCTCCCTGGATTCGTTTGGGATAGTAAGTGATGTTATTTCGATTCCTATATAGTTTATTGATGATGTTAAATAGAGTGATTTATCTGTTTTTATTTCTTTACTTGCTAATACTAAACTTTATTTGACAGCAGTGTGATTCATTCCACCATAATTATTCATCATTATACTTGTGTGTTCTGAGATGCTCCCTGGATGTGTAGATCAAAACAGTTGTTTTCCCTAAAAGACCACTGAAATAGATTTGCATGCCATTCGTTCTCTCGGGATCCTGGATTCCCTAGTACATCATCGGTTTGAAACTGAGATTTTACAACTCCTCTAGGTCTAACCTCCGTATTCACCAACCCGGTTTAAACGTCAGACGTTCTCTTTATTCCTCTCACTCACTTGCGTAACGAAAACCCATGTGATGGTGTGAATGGGGCTTCTCTCACTGTGGCTATAAACGTGTGAGACTGTGTGACAGCATTGTGAAAATAATAACGAAATCCTTCTAGTATTCACAATAACAGGGCGTTTTCAGGCTAGAACATTTTTATTTACTCCTAGTAGGTTGGTAATGTTGACAATCATATTCTTTGTTTTTATTTCTACTAAAATATCAACATTTTGGCCATCCTCACCTTTTAGATCATTAAATTAGAATAAGAAGCAAAACGTGTATTTGTGAACTAAGCTAATAATCTTTAATATTCTATCATCTTTGTTTATGAAGTGTTCTGAAAATATACAACTCCCTTTATTGTGATAACAGTAACCTGAGAGTGTTTCAGTTATTTCTTTCTAATACGATCTAGAAATGTTATTTTCTTGTGTAATGTGATGTTCCATCTTTGTTATCAGATTATCACGTGACAAAGCAGTGGAAATTTCTTAGATGAGAATAATCTAACCATAGTTGCTATCACGTAATAAACTAAAGAAAATCAATACATGTGGAAATTTTAGAAAAAAAGTACAAACTCTTCATAGGATTTTTCGATTACGTACTTAGTTATTTTGTAGAACTCTTCATTAGTGCTCTATATGGAGTCTGACACGATATCCTCAAGTCTTTTGGTGGTCTATATTTTTAATATTTGTTAACTTATATCATACAGCATTTCCCATACAATATCATCGATATGTTGCCATATTACTCCCGACCTAATTGATTTCACATACTACAGCTTCCTATTAAAAATGCACTCCGAGACAAGTTACTAGTTAGCACGTTATTGTTACTAACAAAATTAGTTTATTGATTGACAGGCCATATAAGTGTGCTGCTGTTAGCTAAATGGAATCCGATCTACTATGAGACTTGAAGGTTCTGAATCTAACCTCACTTGGTTTTGCGTGTTTATTGTTAAGAAATGACAAACTTTTAAGAAACAACTATCCTGTGCTTTCTCGTCTTCAGTAATTCCCCGGATGATTTCAATTGATTAATAAAATTGAAATCAAAATATTTGCAACCACTTCATATTCTTTCTAACTAACTTTTCATTATAGTTGTACACCAAATTTATGGGTTTTACAAATAAAAAATTGAACTAAAGAGTTACAAAGTTAGCAAATTACACTGAATAATATGGTTCAAAAGTTAAAGTAGATGGTTAATTATCCAAAAGTGTGCGAATGAATCAGCAATATGAATTGATGAAACCTCTAAAGTATTAGTTGTTGTTAATCATCACTATAATAGGATGAAAAATTGCGTATTCTGAACAGTTAGAAAAAGTTATCTTTGCATATGATATTGATATTAAATAAAATTTGGCTAGTTACTGTTTAAATAAACAATAGTTATTATTAACTCATAACCGGACACTGATGTGTTTACTTGGCTTCTAGCCATACTTTAAGTGTAAGGGTTTTCAATATCTATCAGTTTCCCAAAACGAAACACATTGAGCACGGTTTGAACCTGGTATTTAGGGGGATAAAAGGCCAATATCTTAACCACTGAGCTATCGATACCTTAAAAACAATTGAAAATAGTATCAGTCATTGTTTTTATTTTTTTATTGAACAAGAACATAAATACTGTGAATAAAATTAATATTGTTAGTTTAGATATTATTACTTCTCTAATTTTCCGGTTCAATGTTCATCTGATTCTGTAATGTATTTGAAGAAGTATTTATGTATAGTTGGTCGGCAACAAAATCGTGAAAGTAATCGTGTAGAATATAAACAATTGCTAGTCAATGTATTATTTCTCAAAAGTCCAACCTTGATGAGCCTAGAAATAGGGTGTTTTCTAGTCATATTTTGGGATTTCCAAGCTGCTCGTGGCCAGTTAAGTTCACTGCTATAAAGTGGGCACCTTCGATATATGGCTCTTAATGACATTCCAGAAAACTCGGTAAATACCTGTATTCTTTCTGTGTCGTCATCGGCTAAAGTAATGATCAGACTTCCGTCTTCGTGTTGTATCTTGACGCTATGACTAACTGTTTATGCTTCGTAACATTTTTTCCGAGTACTGTTTAGGTCAATGAGGTGTTCCAATTCAAAAAGTTTAGTAGCATTAGTGATTCCCATATAATAAACCCTGTTTACAGTTTGTTAACTGGTTTTTTTAGTTGTGAGTAGTTTAAGGAGACTGGTTTACTTTGAATTTGGTGTACTTCGAAAACTTCTCAACTGAAGTACCAAGGTTCAATTCTTGTTAGGGTTTTAAGTGAGGACTGCCGCGGAGCCCACATTAGGACGATTAAACTATCCAGTACTCCCTTGCTTCCAATAGTACCCGAAATGCTATCAATGTGTTACGAGTAAAACTCACTAGTTTTTTAATCTGTTAACTGTAAATCTTCTTTCCAATCATTGAAATACTCAACTTCATAACTCTATCCGTGTTTTTGTGTATAACTTGTAACTATACTACTCACTTTTTTGTTTCATTTTCTTTTTGTAGTAAGTGCTGTTCGACTTATCAATGAAACAGAAACCGATGAACTTGATTCTGAACATTATGCTATCGCTCTAGGTGTTCTCGTCAAATTAATGCAAGTCAGTGTACAGTTTTAATACTCCGTCATTGATTTTTTATCCTTCGCAACATATATTATCTGATCATCCTTTAAAGTTGAGATACTAAATTGTATCTTTGGAGAACAGTGCCACAGTGATTAAAGCAATCGATCTTCATTAATCAACTTTTTATTGTTTAGCTATTCAAACCCATAGTTTTCAATTATTTATCACGGGTTCGAAGCCGGTTCCCTACAGCTCCTGGTATCTTTTGTAGTGTCCTGTACCATGTCACGTCTACATGGGTTATTCTAGCTTTCAGAGAAACCAATTAGTTTAATTTTCGTGAGTCATTATTCGCTCATGTTTCTACCTTGTCAACTATTCGCTTGTAACCTTGACTTTTCATATGAGCGTGTGTGTGTACCGTTTACTCGTTCCCCAAACGTGCTTAGCCTATTTTTGTCTGACTTTAAATAGTGAGTCACGCTTTATCAAATGGATTTGGGACGCTTGGCTTTTCCGAGTCACTTCGCTTTCTTAATGTCTGTCTGACTAAACAAAAATCTGAAGTAAATTCAATTAAACTTAATCTGTATTTGGCTTATTATTACCGCCGTCTCACAAACGGGTTAATCAATATGTAATATACAGAATCAAAAGAATTTATGTTTTTGTCATATTCCTTCGTTTATACAAAATGAAGTCAGATCTCGGGTTATTAAAATAACGATTCACCATACTTTAAACCTTACACAAAACATCTGGTTTCAAAACCCGAACTGAGTAAATGAATCGTTATGAATTTTATCGAATTATTGTATCATAGGTACAAAGCCTGCTGCTCACCGATACTTTATTTTGAACACGCAGCTAGTACCAATAATAACGAAGTACACGGACTTGCATATAAGTGCTGAGTTGTATCAAGCAGATTTCTTTTATTTAATATAATCCCATTGTGCGTTATAAATTTTATTAAGTCAAGTTGATCATTCAATAATAGGATTATCTCCTAAGTTTTATACCTTCGATAATTTTGTTCGGGTACTAACCAGTTGTAAACCACCAAATGTAGTTTATTTTATCGATTATAAGTCGTGAGTTCTATATTCTCCTTCATCATTACCTTCAGATGTCTTTTGATTCCTGACCGTAGTTTTTTATTACCACTCAGTAGGAGTGCACATGGCTGTGTTTATATCCTGTAAAATCAAAGTAACTATCTCCCACAAATTATTATCATTATTTTGTTTATTTATTATTTTTTAGAATGAATGTATTTTGTTGGATCGTTTACAGTTAACTGCTAGCCCACAAGATTCTCAAGTGTTATTGTTCAATATATTTAAAAAGGGGTCATCTGATATCTTAACTGAAGGGACAGTAAGTTTATTTCTCTTTCTCCCTTTTTAATCGATTGTATTATCAAAATGTTTGATATCAGTAATAAGTCAATATGTTAAAAGTATATTATTGTAATCAAAAATTACCATTACAATTTATTGGAGGCTATTCGCATGATAAAAACCTTACACTAATATTCACACCACCTAATTACCTAGTTATAATCTTTTTCTCTAATCCCTAGTGCCTATTTAATTCTGTCGATTGGGCTTAGGCCTTCCTACCGGACTGGCTTCAAATGTCTAACATCTCTTCTAAATTTCTGTACTTTGAACTCATGTATATTTTAACGTGATATTCGTCACAAATTGACACTATATGAGGTATCAGTGAAAACGGAAAAGCAATCAACAGTTGTTTCGTTTTAACGTGAAACTTCTCAACAGCTCACACTAAGACCTCACCAGCAATCGAACTCAGAATCTTAAGTTGTCGTGGCGAGATCCTAATTATCATATTAATTGGTTGGCATTCAATGGTACATATTTCTAACTCCAGTCAGTTCGTTATATAGAATGATAACCATCCGATTCCGTTGGTGACTACTGTTTCGCTCCCAACGTGTCTAAGGTCTATTGGTCATAAATTTTTACCTGAAATTCAGAAATTCATCTCGGAGTTACTAGTGAACATAATTGAAGTTTTTTTGGATTAGCATTTGTGCAGATTAGTGTAAAATAAAGATAGCATTCGTCACAGAAACTTGAAGGTCGTGGATTTTTTTCTCCTCACTCTGTTCACAATTCTGGATACTCAGAAAATTGTAGGATGTTATTGGAGATTATCCACTATGCACAGTATATCTTGAATGACTTGAAAAATCGATCCCTCACTCCAGTTCGATCACAGTTTCAGTTGTTTTTTCGGTCTATCTATGTTCTAGTAGACATCATACGCGGTAGGTAGCCAATATTTTTTCTAACATTACACATTCCTTATTTGTTTGTGCTGAAAGACTAATAAAACTTCGTGTTTTCTTTTATTTCATTTTCCAAATATCTCTTTAGGAATCTCTTATGTATTTAATCCATGACTATGTAATGTAATTCATGTACAATAAGCATTAAAATTATGAATGATTCAGTAATACTTGGATCGTACTTTTGCTGGCTCATATACACAAACTTCGCTTTGTTTTTTATCTTTACCATAGACACTAACTCGTTTAATGCATCGAGCTCAAGGCCGGGCAGAATTTCATATGGTTATGTCATTATTAGTAGTACTTAAAAAGTTTTTTCAAATTTCTGATGATCTTGTATCTGTACTTCAGGCAAGATAAATGTCTTGATTACTGAGAGTTTTTTCCCATTAATTATTGGAAACATATGCATCCATTTGTCATTTTATAGATGTTAGATTTTGTTTAAGTATTCTCTCTGAAGTTGAAATCCGGTATTATATATGTGATGACCACCCAGGGTGTGGGATAACACTGAATGGTGATCATATCGTACCACTACATATGACTAAAGTAGAAAGTGTAACTGCTAGATTTCGTCCTAAATGTCCTGGCTTGTCAGTCAGTCAGTCAGCTACAACATGGGACCAGGCACATTTATGCATCGGTCCAAGTCGCCATACCTCATTAGCACAACAAGATGAAAACCGGATTCATAGAAGTAATTAATTTAGTGGTGGTAATATATAAAGATAGGTTGTATATAAGAATATATATAGGAAGGAAGAAAGTTATGAAGCAATTTTAATCTCAAGGTTTAAGGGAAGATAAAGAGTGTATACACCTGCGCCATTGTGATCGATTCTGAGCCACGTTACCTAGAGTCTCCAACCATTGGTTACGATAGTCACGCGGACCCCAACCAGGTAGTCTGCATCTACCAACATGGCTCAGACTAGAAGTTAGTGACTTCAAGCTCTGATGCCAAGTTTTGGTTTGGCGGTCCCTAACTCTCTTCCAACAATCCCCTACACTAGTCATCATAGCACGTCGTGGTAATCGGTGTTCATGCACACGTAACACGTGGCCTAATCATCTCAGTTGATAAAGATTCATGATCTCATCAACTGATTTACCATCATTTCCTAATACCCTGCGTCTAACCTCACTATTACTTACCCGGTGATCCCAGCAGATGCGTGCAATATTTCTAAGGCATCTGTGGTCAAATACTAGTAACCTACGAGTATCTTCTACTCTTAATGGTCATGTTTCACAACCGTAAAGTAGAACAGAGCGAACTGCTGTGCAGTATACTCGTCCCTTAATTGATAGATGGATATCTCGTCTTCGCCATAGGTGACGTAAGTTGGCAAAAGCCAAACGAGCCTTTTGAATCAGTGTTGAGATTTCGTCAGACACCAACCCATTAGGGCTGATCAGACTTCAAAGATAAGTGAAGTTGTCGACTACTTCACTCCCTATCCTTAGTTCGAGTGTTGATGCAGGCCAGTCCTGGAGTAACAATTTACATTTGGATGGGGAGAATCGCATCCCAAACATCCTTGCATTATTACTCAGTTCTAACAGAAGACTCTGCATTTTGCCAGCGTCTTCACCAAACAGGACTATATCATCTGCGTATTTTAAGTCGATAAGTGGACCTTCTGGTAGGAGATCAATTCCTGTAAATTCAGTCGAAGAGAGTGCTATTTCTAGCAATTGGTCTATAATGAAGTTAAACAAAAATGGGGATATTCTGGCTTGAATCTTATTCAGATCAGATCATGGATATACACTAATTAAAATAGTGTAAATATGGGCTTTTTTCAAAAAAGTAATGATGATGATTGCATGAACTCTCACTTGAGACCATATCACAGTTTCATTTGATAAATTGATCAATTTTTAGTAGTAAATTTGTATGTATTTATCAACTACTAATGTTAAATTGTTTTTTTTTTCTTGTTTATTTATTTTCTAAATAGTGTATTGATAATGTATTAATTGATTTTAATCAATTAGTTCTTCGTTTATTAAGTCAAAGTAAAATAACACTAGAAACTTATGTACAATTTTTGCAACAAGTTACAGAAAAATCCAGTTCAAATAGTAATGTTGTACCTGAAGATGGAACAATACATGAACTTACAACTAATGTAAGTGAAATTTCATTGATGGTAGTGTATTGAGTTGTAAAGAATAAGAACAAATGTATGTATATTTTTCATTTGTTGGTCGTAACTTGGGTGGGTTTGTGAATAAAATAAACTTACACTTTAAAAGCTGTTAATTAGTGGTACATTTTTTGAAGGAATCCCTTTTTGATATTATTGATCTGTCCAGTAAAAATGCTAATCAGTAATATAAAAATTCTCTAGGTTACATTCAAGCCTTTTTGAAATACTCCTTATTTGTGCCAACACACTTGTCCCATCACTTTGTTAATTGTTTAAATATACCATTCTGTGTAATTAGGCCTTTTCATTTCACCTTTAGTCGTCCCACTGTCGCTGTCAATATAATTTCGGATTGTATCAGCAAACTGAAAACCTAAGTGATTTAATATAAATAATTAGTTGCATGGATGATCTATCTAGTGTGAGAATTGGGTTTGTAAAGATATATGACCTTAGCTCACATATTTATTATTTCATTTATTGGACCAAGGAAATCGTGAATTACATCGATTAGCATCTCAAATAAGGTAAGCTACCTGTGTTAGACTAGCTCACGGTAGTGGACGTTGTATTCGATATTACTATAATCTTTCATTTTCGCAGTGAAACCATCTGGGTGTTTTTAAGTATGTAACACAGACTGTCTACTGGTCATTCCTGTTGTGTGTGTGTGTGTAGAAATAAGCCCTCTAAAGTTTAATTTTACAGTCATCAAAACACCATTCAAAGTTTACTAAGGATTATCGGTACAGTACAATAATAACAATCTGATAAGGCGTTAATAATCATAACTGCTAAAATAAGCCTTTTGATTTTTCTAGTTACTGCTGTTCTTATTCTTGCTTAATTAATTATACATTACACAAAAATACTTTTTTGTGACCTATATAAACAACAGACTAAAATATCATTATTCATCACTGTTTTGCATGTAACACTTCTCCAAGATGACATTTAAAAGGTAAATACTAAGAATTCTTTCTTAGTTCATAACTTCCTAAAGTAAGTAATAAGCAAATGTTCACTGGCTCAATTCGTCACACCGCATCAATCCAAGAGGTGGTAATCAAATAAACCCTCAACTATCAACATCTCTTTCCCACAGGAAATCAGACGCGACTTGAGCACCTCAGTAATAACGTTTCAGACTGTGAAGCTAAATGGAACGGGTTCGAATCACACAGTAAACACCAGTCCCCTCAGAATTACATGTAAGTCTTGTTGATGAGTGACAAGTATCATAAAATCTAGGTCCAATGTCGCCTGTTGACTACGGCCAACCACCTAAGGGGTCCCCCTATAAAAGACTCTAGTCGATACCTACTAATTGATACGTATCAGTATTGTTATTATGCATATTGAACTTACTTAAAATACCTAATGATATATATATATATATGCTTTTTCCTTATTGGCTAGGCATTGATGTATTTAGAAAACTTGTTAGAATTCGCTGATATTATTGGTACTACTTTGTCACTTACTGAAGCTGGTCCACAAACTACTACTAACACACTTAAATATCTTACCGCTATTGGCCAAAATCATGCCTTTTTAGAAAATAAATTTGGAAAATATTTATGTAAGAATTCTCTCCTTTTTGCATGATAAATACTTTTTTAATGTGTGTTATTGACATTTGTGACTAGTTTATTCATAAAAAGTTGCTTATGACCTTTCAAGGGAAAAGAGTACATATTTTGATCAATTAGAACTGTCTACATCTATTTAGAAACATACACTCTGTTCATTTGGAAGTTTTGTTCAATGTATGGGTCTCATTTGTTTGTGATCACTGAGTTATTCAATATGCATCTATTACTTTTGATGTCAAAGTCAAATATATTATTGTATTTACTGAGAACCGCCGAATTTAAAGATATAGATTTATACAGTTATAGTAAAGCTTTAAATAGCAGTTTTAGAGACAGCAAATATTTGTCAAAACTAAGCATTTATAGATGATAGTTTTCGAACGAATTTAGTAGGCCTACATAATTTATCAGCTACATTCATCTCAGTCTACATAACCTTATTTGCAGTTTTATGTGAACACATTTATTTCAGAATAATCCGAAATTTATCTGACATTGATACTATATGGTCATTGATATATTTGTTTAAAAAATGTTTTTGCTGAATGAAACAGTCATATCAAAGAATTAATAACGCACAATTCTCTGTAAAGAAGTAATGAGTTATCCCTTATAACTTACCTTACTTCTTTCTTACAGCAAAATAAAACCTTACTTAACTATTGGCATTACCAATTGAATATTTACCATGATGTGGTTGTATCATAAAGGAGATCTAGAAGTGTAACAAAAACACACCGTAGTTTACACACCAAAGACAATAGTCAACTGGAAAACATAAGTATCCGAAGTGTTCCTTTTATAAATTGGATCACGACTATGATCAACTCCTTAAGTGCACAATATATAACGCGAACAAATAAATATCGAATGCTATATTTGATCTTTGCATTTTAGTAGAGCGAATTCATTTGGGATATTTATCACTTTGGGGTTTTATCACCTATGGTTTCTGCTCAATGGTCACGATTACGAAGTCTCAGCTTCCAAACACTAGTTAAGAAGTAAATTTATTGACTTTGTGAATCAGACGTTTATATTGGACTGACTACCCTGAGGTTTACTCGAACTACTTCTCTAGCCAACATCAAACATCTGTTGAAACAAAAGCTCTGTCACTCAGAACTATCTAAATTGACTAAAAAGGTGCTTCAAAATCACCATTACAAGAAAATTTCAACTACGTACAAATCCTTAACTTTAACTACTTAACAATCGCAGCACTCCTAGTCTCTTACCAAACCCGAATTTAACTACTTCAGGAATAAATATTTATTAGAAGCAATGGGAACTATATTCATTAACGTTGTTTTTTTCAACTTTTGGAGCCTTTTAATATAGGAATAGTACGATGCAATATAATAATGGGTTGTTTTATGGAATCTCATATCAAGTTTTCTACACATAACACTATCTAAAGGTTAACGCACTTCTCAATAGTTTACTTGACTTCCAGACACACATGATCTACAATTTTTCAATTGTAGACTTTTTGATGAAAGTGTCTACTAATGTATACTAAAACTACCAGTCAGTTAGTTATAGTTTAACCAGGACCTGTCACAAATGTGTAGCAAGATGAATTGTACATGATGAAAAGCAATAGAGTCGAAATAATAACACTTATTGGTAGCAGAGGATATTAATCTCGGTAATGTAATGAAAAAACAAAGGTTTATCACAATTATGTTATATGATTTGCGCAATACATTTCGAATTATCTCGTCACACACATAAATCTGTTCAGTTTCTCCTCACAATGAAAGTTACTGCTGACATGATAAAATTAATCAGTTTACGATATTATCTTTGGATTCTAATGTCAACTATTGATACAATTATGGTAAGCAGAGATGGATAGTGGCTAGCAGTGGAATCCAGGACGCGCGTTTCGTCCTACTTGGGACTCGTCAGCCGGATGTACCTGCATCTCAGAGTTGATGTTCACTCTGGGACTCGAACCCAGTACCCTCGCTTCAAACGCCATCGCGTTATCCACTCGGCCACTGAGTCCTGATAGCCACTTGAAGCGAGGGTACTGGGTTCGAGTCCCAGAGTGAACATCAACTCTGAGATGCAGGTACATCCAGCTGACGAGTCCCAAATAGGACGAAACGCGTGTCCTGGATTCCACTGCTAGCCACTATCCATCTCTGCTTACCATGCTTGTGAATTAAGGTATGTCGAGGCAATACGCACAGTATGCACATATGCCAATTAGAGACTGACCAGTTGCAGTGCTAAACACATCGATGGGAAGATCCAAACAAACAATACTAAATTGAATTTATTGATACAATTGTATGCCATGATAACGCTCGTAGAAACTGATTTTTCTATTAGTTTCATCTTACGGACTGATGCTGATAACAATACCCGATAACCATCATATCATTTGTAGTAGTTGCTTCTTGATAATTAATCACCGAACTTTATACTTGATAGTGACCGATTGCTATCTTTTTTTCATAATTTAGTCCGTTACTGTTATTTTCTTTTGTGGCTTACATTATTTCAGTATAGGAATAAATGTTATAAATTATTCAAAATTTACTTTGCAACGTATACATAGACCTATAAGCATTTGACCATTCTTATTTTCGAAAATTGTTTGTTTCTTTTCTCTTAGTTAATGCCATATTCGCTCTCATGACAAATTTGGAACGTAAATCAGAAGTTTATTCTGAAGAGATACGCCGAATGATTTTCCAAATGAATAATATTCAATACATATTGAAAAGTATTTATAAGTATGTATGATTTCTAAACTCATATAATGCTATGATAATAATTTAGTTATCAGAAGGGGTTTTGTGGAGATTTAGTATTTTCATATTTGAAAGCGTGAGTCAATTGAAGCTAGACCACCAGGGAAAACGTGGAAGCACTGGACGGCCGTTTCGTCCTATTGTGGGATTCCACAGCAGTGCGCATCCGCTATCACGAGATTCCAACCCAGGACCTACCAGTCTCCTGGTCTATCGGTTAAGTGCTCTGGCGCGAGACTAGTAGGTCCTGGGTTCGAATCTCGTGAGGCGAGGTCGTGGATGCGCACTGCTGAGGAGTCCTATGATAGGACGAAACGGCCGTCCAGTGCTTCCACGTTTTCCCTGGTGGTCTAGCTTCAATTGACTCACGCTTTCAGCTATGAACATAATTTAATTTATTTAACGAATACAAGTTTAAATATTCAGTTTTAAAATACACTTTGTTGGACTACTCAAATCGAAGTAAATGGTGCAAAACTTACAGCCTAGTTGTTGCAAATTAATTACTGTATTCATGATATCACTACTGTAGAAGTCATGCGTTATTAAATAGCTGAATCTCTACGAACACGTTGCTAATAAGGTATGTATCCTGTAACGAACAGTCATCCTAAGTCGATTTGCTCAAATTCAGACACCTGTCTGATAAAGAGCTTATGAAAGTGAAAGTATACCTATTAAATATATTACTGTCTCTAGTGAAATCTCTCCAATAATTCATCCCATTTACTATAGTGATTTTAATTACCAGAAGTCCAATAGTTGATCCGAATGCAGAGCTAATGAACCAAAGTTTATTAGATTCGATCAAACTACATTCTTCTGCACAGCATACAAAGCATTGTTGAGTTACTAATATTAAATTATATCAAAGCACAAACCCTGTGTTTGTTGTAATCGGTTCTTATTTAACAAAAGAAACAAATTACATCAAAAGTACAAAATACCTTAAGCAATACAGCCTGTGCTACATAGTCGAAGGTTTATCTAGCACAGAATAGCATACTAAACAGCTAAAGGGATCATTAATAAACAAGTGTTTTGTACCTGAGAATCACTAAGAGTATTCCTAACAAGATGGGATGAAATATTTATCTTCAAGAATTCGAGTAACCGCTTCCAGTAGGCAATCAGAGGTGAGCAATCATCAGCCTAACCACGCCGTAACCTTGAGTTTAGTCAGATACGACCCTATTGTCAACGACCTGGCAACATGCATTAGCGAAATTAAATAAAGTAACATGATAAAAGTCCGGACAAAAAAGAGGGGAAAGAATAAGATAAAGTTACAAAGGTTTCGAATAAAATTTAACACAAGGTAGGACGAAAGAATAAAGATATAACAACACTGTCCAGTAAAACACTGGAAGGATTTTCAACTTATTCTCGTAGAGATTTAGTAGGCTGCTGTTAACTAAAGCAAAACACTTACCCAGTCCTCCTTGGCTTTCAATCGTTCTACAACTGATTTCAGTTTGTGATAAAATTTCTTTACGAATTATTAACTTGATTTACAAAAGCTTATATGTATGTTACTAAACATCCATCGGAAATTTGGTTTAAAAATAAAAATCTTAGTTTTAATAATCAGTAAGATATAACAAAAACGTTTACGAATATTTTGTAACATTCATGTCAAGATGATCTCATGCTATTGTTTAACAAACAACTACTAACTTTGCTTTTGAACAAAAAGAAACTTGTCATGACTAAATATCATTGTTATGATTACTTGTGTATAACCTATATTTCTCATGAGTAAAACCTTATGGTTTACTCACCTACCTGCTACTCAATGCTAATCATAGTAATAGATTGGAAAGAGATAAGGAGCAGTCAGATAAAAGCATGATATCAGTCCATGAAGTCATCCACATTTTTACTGGGATATATGGGGGTAGTCCAGACTTCTTGGTCGGGAGTGCTTGCTGACATGTGTCAAAGTCGACCATGTTTGCGTAAGTACGTTCTCTATATTTTAAAGTTCAATGCTATTTCATATTTTTTATTCTGCTCAGTAGACAACCACAGAAAATGGTTGCTCGGTATCTTCAGCTGGTTCAATTTAGATATATACACCATAGGATTTTGGCTCAGTGGTCTGAGGTTAAGTGTGCTCCCATGAAACCGAAGGCCATGTATTCGATCCCAGGTGGCAGGGTTATGGATGGGCATCGCCAAGTTCCATACTAGGACGAAATAGTTGTTTGGAGATTCCGGATAGCCGATGGTTGTCTAACTTGGGTTGGTTCATGACCTCACTAATATTTATTAATCTCCACAAACCCCTACAATTTCGGCACTTAATTGTTTAGTTCCTTCCTATTGTTAACCAATCACGTTTTTCCACATTTTGGTTTAAATAAGTGGATATATGATTGTTCTTTGATTTTAAAACTAAATAATACAGGTTTTCTTTATTTATACGTCCTTTTTTCATGGTGTCGGTAATTGGGGTGATTTTTAGGACGAATATTCATCGTTATCTTTTATCACAAGATCGTGAAGCTGTCGCCAAGATTACCAGTATATTGGATGAACGTAAATTTTTTATACGCGATGGTATGTTTTACACAAATGTTCGTTTTTGGTGTTCACAATCTATTTCGTTATTATGTTGAGGAAAATCAAACTTTATTCAGTTTAATGCTGGTTAGAATACATATTACTAATATCCCAATGAGTCAAATAGTGAATGTTTGACTGTTTGTGTTGGGGATGTCAAATCCGCAGAACTTACTTGGTAAATGGCTTAATCTTGTAGTTTTATTTTGAAAATTTGAATTTAGCTGTTTTCGCGCCAAAAGCGCTCTTTTTACCTTCACGTCATATTTCCCACCTGTAAACTATCTTAACCGCTATTGGTCCTTTGTTTCTTTATGTGTGCTATTTACTAATGATGCTCAAGGACAATTTGTTACTGTATAAATGCGCTTGACTTTTCCCCTTATTTGATTGCTTGTACTCGGCTGCTTACGGAATACATATATATTCCCTTACTTGCCTTGGACTTCTTCATCTAGTTAGCGGGGCCTGGGACAACCGATTAGAATAGCTTATCGTGTCATTGTGTCATTGGCTTTCGTTCGTTACCGCGGAATCGATTTAGTTTCAGGCATAACAGTTTGGTTCTCCAAATAATTTCCATCTGTTACTTGGTAATAAACGCGGTTCCTGACGGTTGCTGCTACTTCGACGTTGTGGTCGGTCTTGCCTATCGAGATTAACCCATTAGTCTATACTGGATGGAACAATCGTTCCTCAAGGTTCCAACATGCCAGGTAGGTCGGTTGAAAAGCGGTAAGACTAAAAGCAGCCAACCCAAGGTATAAGGGCGAAGTCGTACTGCTGACTGTACAGAGGTCTGACGGCAGTAAGATGTTCCTCTCAGGCAACCTTCATGGCGACAATGTTGCCTTCACGGAAAAGAAGGATGGGGCTAGAAAAGGTCAACCCTAAAAACGCACACCTTCACTTATCCCATGGATTTCCGTCTTCGTTAGCAAGGTCTCAATAAATACGGAGCTAACACAAAAACTACCGACAGAAAAGTCGTGTATGACCGGCCTCAAGCAGTTGTCCCTTGGGCACTACGGATCACTAGGACCAACTCTAACACAATTCCCTCTTCACGTACCTCTGGAAGAATTCTTCCATAGTGTGTGCAGGCGGGAAGTGATAACCACCCTCGTACCTCTAACAACATTCAAGACCACCCCTGTATTCGTAATGAATTCCTCTCTTCAATTCCTATTATTCCTCCTGCGTAGACTGTCAACTCTAAACTTCCTGCTCAAGTGTCACTGTTACGTCCTTGCCTCGTCAAATATCACATGATTTAGTCACCAGTTCGAACACCGACTCATATGACCTTGGTATCTTGCTAACCCATTGACGCGTTAACCAATACAAACAGCCTAGAGTTAGCTCTGAGTCCTTATTTGTTCTTCTTGCCATGCCCTGCCCATTGAGTTCAGAACACAATCTCAGCTTCCACTGTGTGAACTGCATATTTCAAACATAAGCAGTTTATATACAAGCAAACTAGAGCGCATAACACTATAAAATAGAAATTATACAAGAACAAGCTAAAAGTGGTTGTGGGTGTGAGAGACTGTAACTAATAAATCGGGACAACAATAAATATATTTCTTATATCCCAATGAGTAATACAAAGTTAACCTTTGTACTATTAAGACTTGTGTGCTGTTTGGCTAAACGGCTCTGTAAGAACTCAGAAGAATAGGGGCACACGTCGTTGACTTTTCCTCATTTCTGCCTACGCTCCCACTGACTGCAGCCCGGATGAAGTGAAAGATTATTTTTACAGAAAGCTTTTTGAACTTCTTCAAAAAGTTAAACACCCAAACATAGTACTAGTCGCAGGTGATTTTAATGCCTAAATAGGTAACGTAAACCAAACAGAAAGACATTTAGGTGGGTATTTTGGTGTTCCGGCTCAGTGAACAGATAATGGTGACCATATGTTTCAACTGTGCTCAGACGATCGTTTATTTCTAACAATCACTAATTTTAAGCATACGGAGAGGTATCGTCTAACACGGAAACCCCCTGCATCAAACCAATGATGGACTTAAATAGACCATATTGCCATCAGTCATCTGTAGAAGACTGCCGCTCGTTCTGGAATACATGTTTTGACTCCGATCATGCTCTAATACAAGCATGCACTCGCTTGCGTCTCACTGGACACAGAAAAGCCACATTAAGAAAACCCATTAGAGTTGAACTCATTGACGAGAAAGCCAAAAGTAGATTCCAGGAAGAACTGGTGTCACATTTAGGCAGTTCTGAAAACAAAGTTGACCCAGATGTTGCTTGGAAAGATATACAAACAACTGTGAAAATAACAGCGTCTTATATTAGCGATTTGAACTAAACGTTTATGAAGAACCAGTGGGTTTCTGCGACATCTGTTACACTGATAGACTCTTGTAAACTTATCCCATCAGGCTACGAACACTATGAAGAGCGAAAGCAAATCAGATCTAGGTTAACTAGAAGTTTACGGAACGATCGAAGGCAGTGGTGGGCGATGAAGGCTGGCTTTCAGCTACTCTTACTACTACCCAACATTTCCAAACAGCCTGAATGGAACATTGAAATCGACTCCCCGACTCTAATTGCAATTCAAAAAGTTATAGCTAATCTGAAACGAGGAAGAACAGCTGGTCCGGGTGGACTTACTACAGATGTCCTTAAGGATGGTGGTCCAGTTTTAAATTGACGAATATTTTAGCTAAAAAATGAGGGCTGGACGTAATCGTATCCGACTTTTACAATCATTGATCGTCCCAATATTTAAAAATGGATCCATAGGGGAATTAGTTTGACTTATCTGGCGTCTAAAATACTAGCCTCAATAATTATCGTATGCCTAACAAAGACTTATAAACAGCAAAATACGAGAAAAACTTCAATTAGAATCGGGGAGTCTGTTTCAATGTACTTTTTTATATTTTTTATTGCTTATTGTGTTTAATCATTTCTAGCATAAGTTGTTTTGTAACAAATCCCTCGACGAAAGCATTGTTGTAAACTCAGTGCCAATCACTATGAAAATTGTCTTAATGAAAACATTTTTTATGCGCTTTCCCAGTCTCTTGGCTGAATAGCGCTAAAACACAAACTATCGATCTCACGTCAAATTAATTACTTAAACGACAGATATCCATAAAACATAGACAACTAGACTCAACGTGAATGCAACTTATCAATTGGATGTGTTCACTAAAGTATTCACTCTTCATGTTTATCAATATATGTTTTAGAAATATATTTTTGCATACTATGCACTATTAGTGTAGGGTTGTGGAGATTACAGAATTTTATAGAGATCAACAGTCGATCTAAGTTAGATAACCATTGAAAACCTGAAAAGATTAGACATCTGTTTCGTCCTAGCATGGAACTCTGCAGCAGCCCACACCCACGACTTCTCAACCGGGAATTCAACCCAGGACTTTCGGTCTATATGATATTTCATTATATATATTTCCTCTTGTACTTATTTTTTCACTTCAGTCATGAACTAGTTAACTAATCCTTTCTTTTTCTATAAACAAAAATTATGTATTAGTTGTGCTGATATACTACACTTACGGCCATTTCCTGAAAGCTGTGGATCAAGTAGTATTCGTCGACGTAAAGCCTCTCAATTTGGATCTGTATTATTAGCTTCAGTATTGTCACCAAATCTAAACACTAATCATCATAAACATTCCATCACTAACAATGAGCAATCTCAAGAGATTATGGATGAACATCTAACCAAGGTGTCTTTGGTTTTTTTCCTAAATATCTTACTGTCTCTCTCATCGACTGAGAGTTGACTTCTTACTAGTTTATAAAACCTCTGTTATTTTCATTAATTATGTTTATGTATGTTTTGTTGTATCATGATTTGATAATGAAGAATTCTCGAATATTAATAATTGTGTGATTTTAGCAGTTTAAAGATCCTCATAGAATATTTGAGCGATATTTGAGGGAACAATTGTTTTCAATAACTTCATCATCAGGCTCTACAGTTATAATAGTTGAAAGCGTGAGTCAATTGAAGCTAGACCACCATGGAAAATCTGGAAACACTGGACGACCATAATAGGACGAAACGGCCGTCCAGTGTTTCCAGATTTTCCATGGTGGTCTAGCTTCAATTGACTCACGCTTTCAACTATGAAAAATACTAAATCTCCACAAAACCCCTTCTACAGTTATAAGTCCATAATCATTATGATATTTTACAATGGCCAAAAATGAGGCGTGTATTAATGACTTTGATAATTTTCTATGTTAAAAATGGTAAACGTTTGCATCTGTTACGACATAGATACTTCAAGATTGTGTTATTTACAAATTAGAAAGGTTATATAATAAAGGTCAGAAATGATTTAAACTAAAGTGTCCAGTCACAATCAATATAATAATAATTTAGGAAAAATGAAAATGCAAAAAAAATTGTGTGAAGAAAATTCATAGTAGGAGAATTTCATCTTGTTAATTGAGATAATAATGATAAATAGTAATAGTAATAATCTTAATATTGGTGTGTGAGTATAATATGTAATAAAAGGGGGTGTTGTCAAGGTAATTACGATGAACGAATTGGGGATGATGGATGTTGAGATTAAGATAGAGGTTATTAACATAAAAGGAAGAAAAAAGAGAGGGGGAGGTTTATAATATTTCGTTTAGGAATCCGGTGATCCAGTCGTAGGCCAAGGTGAACATAGAGGCTGGATTTACCTTTTCGGGATGCATAAGTTTGGTTTTCTGGAGTTGATCCAGATGGCTTCGGCTGTGTAAAGTAATCGTAATCTAGCTCTTTGAGGTAGAGTTTTCGGAACTTGATATAAAGCAGTGAAGGCTTCCTCTATTTTGATATGATGTTCACTGTCTACCATATCATAATAATTATGGGCTTATAACTGTAGAGCCTGATGATGAAATTATTGAAAACAATTGTTCGCTCAAATATTGTTCATTTTTGAATTTTGTGATTGTTGTCATTTACCAATTTTCTAGTTAATAGTAATCATAACTCTTATCCTAACTTTTTTCCATCTAATGATCATTAATGGCGACATATATAATTGGTGTTTTATAATGGCATGTTAATAACATAGTACTATACTATAACCTTAATTATCCTTTCTATGAATTATTTTACTTAGGGATCTTTTTTATTTCTTCCATGTTATGTTGAATAATCTATAAAATTGTAACTACATTTTAACTGTTCTCAAAATTCTTTTAATTTTTGTTTGTTCTTGGAATTTGTTCCGTTTTCTTTTTCATAAATGAAATCGATCTAATTCTTTATAGGTGTGCACGCATGCTTTCATTACCAGATGGTAATATTTTAAATCGTATTACTGGTATGATTAATCGTTCTTCTGTGAGTTCATTTATAAAATAACATCATTCTATTTATATAAATTATTCATAATGCATGTTTGTTTGTGTATCTCATTTATTCTTTTATTCTTTTAACAGTAGACTACCTACTTGAATGTGTCTATCATCTTATCGAGTAATTTATTTTATATTGATTATAATTGTTCTTTAATTGTAACTTGTTTGTTTACTATTTTACCCTTCTTACTTTAATAGATAGATCAAAAGGAGAGATCTTTCCTAAAATCTCTTTGGAATGTAAGTTTTACTGATTGACTTAAAAATATTAGATACCTTTTTTATGTTAGTGTTTTTTTTTGTTTCTGTTTTTCAATGAATTCATTCCTTACGTATGGCTGGAATTGTCCTAACTACAAGTCAAGGTTATGTGAGAATGACCGTATCTGCACCATTTTTGTCGTGTTTATAATTCATGATGGTTAATGTTTCATGTAATTTATAGTTTTGGAACAATGGATTAACTCTTTATTAATAATGAGAACTTGGAAATCTACGATACAGTTAAGTTATCAACATTCTACTATTAAAAACCAAGAAGAATTTAACCCATTTGACACTAAATAACATGGATCGTATAAATTTAGTGTAAATAAGTATATTTAGATCAATTGAAACACCAATGACTGCAATAAAGTCACAAATTAAACGAAACAGAGCTCTAGATAAAACAGCATCCATAATGACGAAGATGGGGCACATCTCAATATTACATGACCTTGACTGGTAAACAGGATAATTCCAGAATTACGATATCCCAATAAATAACAATCTTACCAAACTCGACTTTAATTAGTCAGTCAAACGTAACGTAGGAACTGGCACACATGTGCATCATTTGAAGTTGCCCTACGCCATTAACACAGAGAGATGAAATTTTTAGGGGAAATTTCAGATAAGTACATGTAACAGTATTAGTGTTAATAAAAAAAGATTAGACATCGAAGATACTACTTTAGAAAATGTAAATTAGTGAAATAAAAAAGGGTTTAAGAAGCTAAGAATGTGGGGTAAGACAAGCAGTGAATGCACCTGCGCCATTGCGAACTATTCTGTAGAGTTTCATTAACAGTCCTTAACTGTTGTTTACTATGATCACGTCGTAGTCTATATCTACCTACATGACTTAGTTCAACAGTCAGTATCTTGATGAACTGATGCTACGTCTCCCCTACCTTTCTTCCTACCTACTTGTGCACTAGTCATCGTTGTGAGTTTAGGTAGTCAGTGGACGGGCATACGTAACACATGTCTTAATATTCTTAGTCGATAAAATTTCACAACTTCAACCGGTTTGTCGTTCTTGCCTAGGATGGTCCCAAAATATACTAGCAGTGCTTCAAAGACACGAATAATAATAACCTTTGAATACCCTTTATTTTTAAAGGCCACGTTTCATTGCCATTAAATAGAACGGAGCGAACTGTTGCGTAGTAAACTCGTCATATAGCTAACAGACGAATATCTCACCTACTCCATGAGTTCCATAAGTTGGTAAAGACCAATTGAGCTTTCTGAATGGGTCCCAACATTTTGTCAGACACCAACTAAGCTGTGTTAATGAGACTTCCATGATAAGTAAAGTCCACTTCATCTTTGCATCATAAACTATCTATTTTGTTTAATTAGACCATATACTTGCTCTCGATATGTAATGGAAGATGACAAACATATGTATGTCAGTGTTGTAAGATAAAACTCCTCTACTTCAATAGCGATCTTCATTTAGCTCATAAATAATAATAAGTCTCTGCATTTTGAGGAGTTGATGTTGATGGAATACCGAAAGCCGCCATGCATTCTCAACTTTATATATATAAAGTCAAAATATATTTAAATTGAATATTTTGCCTCAGGACGAGTGTCGCAATAGCGGTTAATTGATTAACGTATATTACTGTAATTTTTGTGTTTCACATAAGTCTCTCTATTAGATTATTTATTGTTGATTTGTAACTAAAATTTACAAATATTAACTTTTTTCTCTTTTTCTCCTTGCTTTATGTTCGAAGGATTTTAATAATGGATTGAATACTTTAACTAAACAACATCATCTTATATCAATACCTGATCGAGAATTGAAAAATAGTTTAGAGCATCAATTAGTACGAGATCTAGTTGTTTTATATCGTGGTTTCTGGGAAAAATCAATGTCTATCGCATTCACAACAAATCATGATAAATATATTAAATTATCCGTTGAAGAATTTGAAATTCGAATACGACATTTATTTAATGGAACATCAACTAACAGTACACGTCAATTTTTAAACAAATAACAAATAAGACAATAATCTTCATACCATTATTGTCGTTGATTCCTTTGCAATTTTTTCTCCACAAAATATAAAACTGAATTCTCTGTTTTCATTTTTTTCTCTTTTTTCCTTTGTTTTGTAATAAATAATTTGAAAACTTACATTGATACCGTACAACCATTAAACGCTTAGTCAAATACATAACGTTATTGTGCCTTTTTTTGTGTTATATATCTTTACAACTTGTATGCATGTGGATAAGAGACTTCTATTTTTAAGCCTAATGTACTTTTTTCCCATTTTATGGTGGTATCAAATATTATGAAGTATTGATTGTGTATGAGTTTTTTTTTCGTATTACGTTTTATATCCTGTAAAAAGTACTTGAACAACACAACGCTTTTGAATAACTTTCATCTTATGTTCAACAATGATAAGATTTATAGAGTTGAGATCATGAGTCCATTGAAGCTAGACCACCATGGAAAACCTAGAAGCATTGGACGGCCGTTTCGTCCTATTATGGGACTCCTCAGCAGTGCACACCCACGATTATGATTTTAGCAGATGTAAAACGAATGAGTAGCAAAAATATAAGAATTCATTGACAATATTTTATTGCTTGCAGTTCACGTTGTCGAAAATATTCTTACTGGGCGTAATAGTTCTTCTTCTGCTCCCAATATCATTATGAATTGATATCGTATGGAGAAGCATTAAAAATTAGAGAGCACTGAATTGTTGGGGATGAATTTTTATCTAGCGTTTTGAAAGATGAAATTGTGCTGCTCCTAATGATTATTATACCATAAAATTATTTTCAACTTAAAGCCGTATAGATAGGTCCCCATACTTAGTGTTTAAGTTACGTTATTATCAGTCGCCTTTGTTGTAGTCTCCCTTAAAAACCATTACATTTAAGTAATACTGATTCATATCAAAACAGTTGCCAAGTACCATGAACTAATTATGATGTGATGGATATTTGTAGTTGTGCGCAGTTTTTAGATAATGACCTGTAAAAGTAATTCTTAACTACTTGTATACAGGCTAAATCAACTTTATATTAATGTAGAACTTTGGAATGATTTTGAACGATTTTTCAGTCAATGATTGCATACAATACACCTATTTTTTTTGTTTATTTCTCTAGGTTAATGGATATATTTTCATGCTATAAAAAGATGACTTACCTTTTGTTCGTATTTCTGCTCCTATGGTTCGATATACAAAGTTAGTACATAATTTTCAATATTTCTTCCAATAATCAACGTTTTCATAATGTCTATGTTTATGAATCACTATAATTCATGCACATAACATTCCCTTTGATCCTTTATCCTCCGTTTACCTCCACTGACAACATTAGTTTTACCATAACTTAAACTGGATAATTGTCTGTTTCTTCTAATAATATTCAACATAGTATATGAAATTCAAGGGAAAACCATTGTAATCAAATAAACTATCAATAGTTTTAAACATAGAAATAACACTAAAAACGATAAAGCATTACTTACTTATGCCTGTTCCTCCCAATCGAGAATAGGCCGCCGACCAGCATTCTCCAACCCACTCTGTCTTGGGCCTTCCTTTCTAATTCTATCCAACTTTTGTTCATTCTTCTCATATCTGTCCCCATTTCTCGGCATAATGTGTTCTTTGGTCTTCCTCTTCTTCTTTAGCCTTGAGGATTCCATGTGATGGCTTGTCTTGTGACGCAGTTGGGTGATTTCCTCAATGTGTGCCTTATCCACTTCCAGCGCTTCTTCCTGATTTCTTCCTCCAACAGATGGAATCTGGTTTGTTCTCTCCCACAGTAGATTGTTGCTGATAGTGTCTGGCCAACGGATGCGAAGTATTTTGCGTAGAAAACTGTCAATAAACACCTGTAAATTCTGGATGGTGGCTTTCGTAGTTCTCCAGGCTTCCGCCCCATGTTGTAGAACTGTCCTGACATTTGTATTGAAAATCCTAATCTTGATGTTGGTTGACGATTGTTTTGAGTTCCAAATGTTTTTCAGTTGTAAATATGCTGCTCTTGCTTTGCCGATCCGCGTCTTCATATCTGCATCAGATCCACCGTGTTCATCGATGATGCTGCCCAGATATGTAAAGGTTTTCACATCCTCAAAAGCTCCTCGGTCAAGTGTAATTCGATTGGTGCATGTTGTATTGTATTGGAGAGTCTTGCTTTTCTCTTTGTTTATATTGAAACCTACTGCTGCTGAGGCTGCTGCTATACTGGTCGGCTTCTCCTGCGTTTGTGATAGAAGAGCCAGATCATCTGCAAAGTCTAAAATCGTCCAGGCACATCCTAGCTGTCCACTGTATCCCGTGCTTCTACACCCTCAAACGTTGACGTCTTCATGATTCAGTCGATGACCAGGAGAAAGAGAAAGGTTGAGAGTAAGCAACCTTGCCTAACACCGGTCTTTACCTCGAATGAGTCGGTGAGTTGTCTTCCGTGGACGATTTGACAGTTTAATCCATCATATGATATTGACTATCTTCTCAAGCAAACACTCCGTAGTGTCGAAGAAGCCTCCATAATGTCCTGTCCACGCTATCAAATACTTTTTCATAGTCAATGAAGTTGATGTAGAGTAATGAATTCCATTCGACTAATTGTTCCACAGTGATACGTAGAGTTGCGATTTGGTCTGTACACGATCTATCCTTACGGAATTCAGCCTGTTGGTCTCGAAGTTGGGCGTCTACGGAGTCCCTCATTCTGTTTAACAACACCCTGTTGAAGACTTTTGCTGGTATTAAGAGAAGAGTGATGCCCCTGTAGTTATCGCACTTGCTGAGATCCCCTTTCTTTGTTATCTTGATCAGAAGTCGTTTTTTCCAGTCTATTGGTACTTGTTCTTCGTCCCAAATCTTACTGAAGAGAAAGTGGAGTATCTCTGCAGTTGCTGCTACATTTGCCTTCAGTGCCTCTGCCGGGATGTTGTCTGGTCCCGCTGCTTTGCCGCTCTTGATTTCTCTAATGGCCATGCTGATCTTTTCAATTGTTAGTAAGCCAACATCGATTGGAAGGTCCGTGGGTGCTGTCTCGATGTTGGGTGGATTCAGTGAAGCTGATCGATTCGAGAGTCCTTTGAAGTGTTCTATCCATCTGTTCCGTTTTTCTTCAATGTTGGTGATTGCCTTGCCTTCCTTGCTTTTCACTGGTCTTTCTGGTTTACGGTAATTTCCAGCAAGTTTCTTTGTTGTATCATACAGTTGTCTCATGTTTCCCTCTCTTGCAGCCTTTTCCGCTGTTATCGCTAAATCTTCCACATATTTACGTTTGTCGGTTCTGATGCTCCTCTTCACTTGCTTGTTTACTTCTGTGTATTCGGCTTGTGCCTTGACTTTTTCTGCTCTTGTTCGGCTGATATTCATTGCTACCTTCTGGTTCCTTCTTTCTTGAATCTTATCCAGTGTACCTACAGTGATCCATTCCTTGTGATGGTGCTTCTTTTGGCCCAGAACCTCCTGACATGTTGAAATGATTGCCTATTTTACCTCTTTCCAGTTGCTCTCCATAGTAGTTCTCTCTCCATTGAGTAGATCATGGAATGCATGGAACCTGTTGCTGAGGTCTATCTTGAATTTGTTGAGTTTGTCAGTATCTCGAAAAAAGTCGTATTAAACATTTGTGATGTTGTCCGCGCCGTTGTCCAGTGCTTCTTGAGTTTTAGTTTCATCTTGGTGACCAGCAAATGATGATCGGATGCTATATCAGCTCCTCTTCTGGTTCTCACATCCTCCATCGTCCTCCTGAACTTTTTGTTGATGCAGATATGGTCGATTTGGGTCTGTGTAGTGTGGTCCGGTGAAACCCATGTGGTTTTGTGAGTGCGTTTTTGTGGGTATATGGTGTCGCATATGACCAGTTTATTAAAAGCATATAGGTTTGCAAATCTCTCACCATTTTCGTTTCTTTCTTTCAGTCCATGTCGTCCCATGATGTCTTCGTATCCAGTGTTGTCCATTCCAACCTTGGCATTTAAATCTCCCATCAGAATGGTCAGGTCCTTTGTTGGGCACTTCTGGACGATCAACTGCAGCCTATCGTAGAATTGGTCTTTAATGTCTTAGTCGTAGTCGTTGGTAGGCGTATAGCATTGGATGACGTTCATTGTAGTACTTTTTTTCTTTGTTTTGAAGGAGGCTTCGGTGATCCTGGGTCCATAACATTTCTAATCCTACAAATACTTTTTGTGTCTGTTTTGATAGCATCAGTGCAACTCCTTTTGTATGTTGAACATTTTCTTCGTGGCCGGAGCATAACAGCAGCTCTCATAAATTTAATCTTTGTTGTTCAACCTGCGTCCAATGTGTTTGACCGATTCTAAACACCTCCAGGTTGTATTTCCTCATTTCTGCAACAACTTGGATGACTCTCCCGGTACTACACATTGTAAAAACATTCTATGTGTTTAAGCTAATGGTTGTTCTGATTGTTAGAAAGGGCTCAGTCTGGTAACTTCTGGAGAAACTCAGCTTTCATCATGAGACGTCATAATTCTTCTAAATGAAGGCCTAACTCCCATGCCAGAGTCCAAATGGTTTGAATTATTTTTACTGGTTAGCGTTTTTAGCGAGTTAGTTTTCTACGAGATAGGTTCGCTAACCCGATACCGAAACCTTCTCCTATATTCAGGCTTGGAATTGGCAGTAGCCCTAGAGGGGCTCCATGCGGAGTTACAGTCTATTCCTAACTAGCGTTATATACTACTTATGTCGATATAATTAGCACACATCGCACTACCAGCTGTTCCAGAAAGAAGGATGCTATTCAATGTGTACAGATATATTATTGTATAGTGTATTAAATATATTGTAATAAAAAGATAATAGGGAAATAAAGTGCTATACATGTTGATCATTACTTTAGAATATGAACAAGTAAATCAAGTTCAGAATCAAATTAAAAATGTAATAAAATTGTACAAGTTAGATAAAATTTAAAATAATCTAATTTCATTTCTATTTCTACTCTACTCTTTGTATAACACTATAAATGCTAATGATTTTATTCGAAAATTAGTATCATATACACCAGTTTGTAACAGAACATATTTTCGAATAATCCACACTTTTTTTTAAAAGAAAAAAACAAATTATGAAAAAAATTCTCCACAAGGCCACAATATTTTGATTAAAATTTTTAATTTTGATTAGTTAGTTTTCTACTACGAAATGGATATAGAGTACAGTAGCCTTAATCAATTACTAATGTGTGTGGCTACCAGTGGAATCCAGGACGCGCGTTTCGTCCTATTTAAGGCTCGTCAGCTGGATGTACCTGCACCTCGAACTAGGTGTTCACTCTGGGACTCGAACCCAGTACCTTTCGCTTGAAACTACACCGCGTTTTTCACTTTGCTACTGGGTCTCTTTGCTAATGTGTATATTCCTTATTAATTATATCATTGCAGTTCATTCTTCATTACTTTTCAATTTATTATAATATACCTTATATATATATATATATATATATATATATATATATATATATATATATATATATATATATAGGAGAGTTGGGCATGGGGTTAGCGACCCCATCCCGTAGAAAAGCTAACTCGCTAAAAAAACGCTAACCAGAAAAAATAATTCAAACCATTTAAACTCTGCCCTGGGAGTTGAAGGAATAATTATGACGTCTCATGATGAAAGCCGAAATTTTTCGGAAGTCACGAGACCGATGCACCTTCTAACAACCAGAGCAACACTCTTTATAGGTACATGGAACGTCCGGACAATGTGGGAGACAGGAAAGACCAGTCAAATAGCAATGGAAATGAGGAGATACAACTTGGCAGTACTCGGAATCAGCGAAACCCATTGGACACAAACTGGACAACAAAGGCTAGGTACAGGAGAGATGCTGTATTCTGGTCACGAAGGGGAAAATGCTCCACACAATCAGGGAGTTGCTCTAATGCCGTCCAAAGAAGCACGAAATGCACTTGTGGGATGGGTATCTCATGAACCCAGGATAATCAAAGCATCATTTAGAACAAAGAAGCAAGAGATCGCAATGAACGTTATCCAATGTTATGCACCCACCAATGATAACAACGACGATGATAAAGATCAGTTCTATGAAAGGCTGCAATCAATTGTAGCAAAGTGCTCAAGTAAGGACCTCACCATCCTGATGGGAGATCTAAATGCTAAAGTTGGAGTGGACAACACAGGATATGAAGATATAATCGGACGACACGGACTAGGAGAAAGAAATGAAAATGGGGAGAGACTTGCAAACCTATGTGCTTTCAACAAATTGGTTATAGGCGGCACAATATTCCCACACAAACGCATACACAAAGCTACATGGATCTCACCGGACCATACCACAGAGAACCAGATAGATCACATCTGTATCAACAAAAAATTCCGAAGATCAATGGAAGATGTAAGAACCCGGAGAGGAGCTGACATAGCTTCAGATCACCACCTGGTTGTGGCCAAGATGAGACTGAAGCTTAAGAAACACTGGACAACTGGACAAACAGCACTACAAAGGTTCAATACAGCCTTCCTTCGAGATATTGACAAGCTCAATGAATTCAAGATAACTCTCAACAACAGGTTCCAAGCTCTACATGATCTACTGAAAAAACAAAAAACTACTTTGGAGGACAACTGGAAAGGGATAAAAGAAGCACTAACTTCAGCGTGCCAGGAGGTTCTTAAACCTAAGATGCATCATCACAAGGAATGGATCTCTATGGGAACCCTGGACAAAATTAAAGAAAGGAAGAACAAAAAACTAGCAGTCAAGGAGGATCGGATGCAGATGTAAAGGCGAGAATTGGCAAAGCAAGGACAGCATTTCTACAATTGAAGAACGTATGGAACTCAAAATAACTTTCAACTAATTTCAAAGTGAGAATCTTCATTTTAGGGATCCTGTGCTGGAGGACCCGAGTTCGCTGAGAGAGTATAGTACCGTCGATTTCATGATGGTGCTGGACTTAAACATATCATCACAAGTGTCGACGCATGCTCCGACGATACTAACGTTGTCGACATCCCTCACTGTGCGTCTTCATTCGACTACCTGTTTTGGGATTACGTTTTTTCGCAGACCCGTCTAGAGAATGATGTTGCTCAGAAAATCATCAGCATTCCTGTTGCACGTACCACATACCCACCTGCGATCCTAATTACTAAATCACTTGTAAGCAGTTACTGTGAGACCTGTGCATAATTCATGGAACCAACCTTTTCATTTGTCACACTACATGCCAGAGATGACGGCAAAACAATATCCGGATGGCGTGCATGAATTCTTCATGACTATGGTGAATTATCCAATAGATCCTAGCAAACGTTTATGACCGTAAAACAAAAAAACAAAACACCCAAAACGGTTGGTGCAAAAGGTTGTGATTCACTAGAACTGGCCTTGATGTGAAAAACTGAATAGGAAGCTGAGGCAGAACCACAGTCAATTATTAACTTGGGTAAAACTCAAAAAGAATAGTAATCTACCGAACGCTAAGCTCAGGACAGATTCTTTGTTTCAAAAATGGTACTTCCGTCGCGTAAGGACACAGCAAATGTTTGAGAAATGCAAATCACGTTAGGACTGGACTTCCAGTTCGTAAGGCGCACCATTTTCTGCGGATTCGGATAATCGTTATGCTGTATGAGAAATTGTGAATGTTGACCAATTGGTAGATTTAGTGCTCGCCACGAGATCTAGTGGTTTTAGTCTTGTCTCAGGTTCTATGGATGGGCAGTGCTGAGGAGACCCACACAAGAACGAAATATGCGCTTCGGATTTTCAACAGTACCTCAACGAATGTCGATCCTGCTACGGCTGTCTCAAGAATAGTCAGACTTTATTAAGAAGGCTAGAATCTCTTCAGGAACGATAACGGCTCTCACACTTTCTACCAACTTGATTTTCCACATGACCTTTGCCTTGTGATTGGTTGTTCTGTTTTCTTAGTTCGCTAAATTACTACATGCTCGAAGGCCATATTCTGCTACTTTGTAACAATTTTGAGTTGTCTGTTCCACCACATATATCAAGTAACCTGCAATTCTGTCTTCCTGTGTTTGCCGTCAAGGTTTGATGCGTTGGGTATATTTGACTGTGTTACGTCCTTGAATCTGTCTACCCACTTAGTGCCGAGTATAATGTAGATTAAGACCTTGACACGATAGGCTGACTGGCTTAACCTTGAGGCTAATATGCGTGAGTTCGAAATAGGGGTAGAGAGACGAAAACTATTCTATCCCTGATTGGCTGGCAAGCACGCGAGAGAGAGAGAAGACAAAGACAGACGGAACACTAATCACTTTATTCCAACCCCGATCTAGCACTCGAATTCCCAATTCAGATTAGGGTGAAAAGTTACATGAATAAATAGATGACTAAGCGGACCACGACGTACAATAAATAGAAAAATACAATTATGTCCAAAACTGGGGAATTATAGTAGAAAATAAGGTACAAAAGATTACATCTAAATGACAATAGCTTTAGAACAGAAAATGCTATGGCAATCAATTATACATCAAACGAAAGCTTATGATCTGTAGAATAGGCTAGGGGAAAAAGTAAATGTTACAGATTTACAAGCTTTGAATTAAATGAATTAACGTCCCCGAAAATAGCTTCCGTAATTTGTTCAGGCTTCTTATTTTGCCGTTTACATCATCTTCCCCCTTGACAAAAAAAAGTTATGTTATCACTGCCATTGACTGAGTGCATAAAGGAAAACTGGATTGCGTTGTGGTCGTGACCGATTGGGTTAACTGGAATAAAAAAAAAAGAAAAACGGTTAGACACTAATTACAAACAGTAGCTAAGATATCATCACTGATATCTCCCCTCAGAAGTATATGCTCTTTTCTTCGGGTCCACCTGCAGTATATCGGGCCTTCTGCGTTTCCGTTGTGATCTCCTAATAGGATGTTGTTCCAGATGTACAGTTTTCTTAGTTGCTGGACTTCCTATGTCGAAACTGTCCAGGAAGACTTCCCACATTGAGCACATTTTCTCGGTTTTCTGAGGAGTACCAGAACTTTCCAGTATGTGGTTAGCGTGACGTATCCACTTTTGGCCTTCAACCTCCACCACATACATTACATTCCCTCGTCTCCCAAGTATGCGTCCACTGGTCCATTGTGGAGGTGAGTATCGGAAATCACGGACGTATACTTTTTGATTATCTCGGAAGATTCTACTTTTCGCCCCATGGTGGCGATTAAATTGAGATTCCATCTTCTGGTTTCTTCCTACACCATTTTGCTTTGGTTTTATGGCATCGAGAGCAGCTTTAACTTTTCTACCAAACATAATTTCTTCTGGAGACAATTTCTTCGGCGCTGATGGATTTGGAGTCGTTCTGTAGACTAACAGAAAATCATCAAGAATTTTTTTTATCTTCCCTTCCCCCCTTGCCTTCAGTAGTGCTCTTTTGAAGGTATCCACAAACCTTTCTGCTTGACCATTTGTTTGTGGATGGTATGGAGGTGAACGAACATGTTTGACCCCAAACCTGTTGCAGAAGTCAGAGAAAATGGAAGAAGTAAACTGAGTGCCATTATCTGACACAAGAATATCTGGGACTCCGAAACGAGAGAATAAATGCCGTAACTCGATAATAGTCTCTTGCGACGTGATTTGCTTCATGTGTAGAATCTCTGGCCACTTTGAGTAGGCGTCGACACAAATGAGGAAATATGTACCTTGAAATGGGCCGGCAAAATCAATGTGTATACGCGACCAAGGTTCTTTCGGGGATGGCCAAGAATTGAGTTCAGCTTTCCGTGGACACTTCGAGGCTGCAGCATATTTTCTGCAAGCACGCACTAAATCTTCGATGTGTTCATCAATGTTAAGCCAGTATACATAACTTCGAGCAATAGCTTTCATTCTTCCAATACCTGGATGAGCTGTGTGCAGCTGTTTCAGAACGAGTGGGCGTAGGTTACTTGGAATTACTACGCGATCAGCGAACATAATACAGTCATTTACGATGGATAAAGATTGGCGTCGTTGATAATACTGTTTTAGTTCATGAGATGTTATACGTGGGGGCCAACCACGCCGGATAAATGTAGCTAGTTGCCTTAAGATAGGATCACGGAGAGTGTGATCAGCGATTCGAGCAGCTGTCACTGGAAGAATTCGCGTTTAATTGAGCAACATGCTGCTTACATCTTCCACTGATATAGAAGCAATGACAGCATCAGCATGACCAAAGTCAGAGGTAGATTTGTATTTGATAGTGAAATCATAACCCAACAACATTGTAGCCCATCGTTGGAGGCGATTTGCAGTATAAACTGGTATACCTTTCTTAGATCCAAAGATCGATAATAGGGGTTTATGATCAGTAAATAAGGTAAATTTTCTACCATGCAGCATTTTGTGAAACTTCTTAACTGCAAAAACTAGTGCCAATCCTTCTTTCTCAATTTGGCTGTACTTGCGTTCTGCCGAAGTCAATGTTCTAGAGGCATGGGCTGTCTTGAAACCTGTGGGATATAACAGCTCCGACACCATAATCAGAAGCATCTGCGGCAACAACGATTTCCAGTGAGGGATCAAAATACGTAAGAAGTAGTGACTTTACTTTGTCAAAACTCTTTTGACACTCAGTGGACTAGTTCCATTTTACATTTTTGGATAATAGATGGTTCGTGGGTGCTCGGAGGCGATGCAATTGTGGTAAAAAGTTACTGTAATAACTGATAAGACCAAGGAACGAGCGTAGAGTTGCGACGTTAGATGGTGGAGGCACAGACGATATAAAAGATGAGTTTTACAGGAAACTTTCTGACCTTCTCCGAAAAGCTAGGCATTCTGATGTAGTAATAGTGGCTGGTGACTAAGGGAAAGACGCCTGGGTGGATCTTATGGTGTCATGGCTAAAAGAACAGATAATGGCGACCGTCTGTTGCAGCTGTGCTCAGATAACCGCCTATTTCTTGCAAATACTAACTTTAAGCATAAGGAAAAACATCTTTTGACATGGCGACCCCCGAATTCGTCCCAACGTTGGACCCAATTAGGTCACATCGCTACCAGCCACCGATGAGGGAGCTCGATAGAAGACTGTCGCTCATTCTGGGGCACATGTTTAGATTCAGATCATGCTCTAGTGCGAGCACGTATCTGTCTGCGACTTACTGGACGTAGGAAAGACTGCAGGGAACCCCCTAGGGGTTCTACTTAATGATAAGCAAGCTAAGAACATATTTCAGGAACAACAGGAAAAACAGTTAGGCAGATATGTAAGTTGTGCCCACCCCAAAGCAGGGTGAAATGACATCCGAAAAGCTGTGGAAGCAGCAGTGATATCCGCTAGTAAGGAAAGCCATAAGGTCAGGGAGAAACAATGGATCTCGGCAGCATCTACCACACTGATAGATGCTCGAAAACTCATCCAACCTGGCTCTGAACATAACGAAGAGCGGAGTCAGCTTAAGCGAAGGCTAATAAGAAGCCTACACAATGATCATGAGCAGTGGTGGGTAGCGAAAGCAAGAGAGATGGAAAAGGCAGCGGCAATAGGTATCAGCAGACAGCTGTTCAGACTTATTAAAGAAACCGGCATTAGAAACCCAACTATTAGCGAAACTACCTCAGATAAAGATGGGCATATCGTTCATTCTCAATCCAGGAGATTGGATCGATGGGCAGAACACTTTAGGGATCAGTTCAACTGGCCTTCAGCCACACTTCAGTTACCCACGATCCCTAGTCGTCCTGAGTGGCAAATTGATGTAAGTCCTCCAAGTCTCTACGAGGTTGAAAAAGCTATAGGAAATCTAAAGCGAGGGAGAGCCGCAGGCCCTGACAAGTTTACCCCTGAGATTTTTAAGGATGGTGGTCCAGTATTAGCAACGAGATTGACTGAGGTCTTAGGTAGAATCTGGGAACTGGACGTAATTCCATCTGACTGGTCCCAATCACTGATTGTGCCAGTCTATAAGAAAGGACAAAAGTCCTCCTGTGACAATCACAGAGGGATCAGTTTGACTAATATAGTGTCTAAAATATTAGCTTCAATAATACTTGGACACCTAACCAAAGCTCGTGAAGAGCAGACTAGAGAAAACCAGGCTGGTTTTCGACCTGGACATGGTTGCATAGACCAGATATTTACACTACGTCAGGTCCTAGAACATAGACACAAATTCAGACGTCCCACAATAGTAGTATTTCTTGACCTTAAGGCGGCATTTGACTCAGTCGATCGTGAGGTTCTATGGCAGTGTTTGTGACTGAAAGGAGTACCAAAGAAGTACATTAACCTCATAAAGGCTCTCTACTCGAACACAACTGGTCGAGTTAGAGCCTATGGCGAACTGTCATCAGAATTGGTTACCTCAAGTGGTGTTCGTCAGGGCTGTCCACTCTCCCCATTCTTGTTTAACTTTGTAGTTGACATACTTTTAGAGATAACACTTTCATCACCTAAACTTCCAAGAGTTGAACTTTTACCGGGAGGCTAACTTGTTGATTTAGAATACGCCGACAACATAGTTTTATTCGGTGAAGACGCTGACAAAATGCAGTCTTCTGACCACTATAAGCAACTATGCAGGCATGTTCGGGATGCGATTCTCTCCCTCGAAGTGCAAAATGTTACTTCAGGATTGGGTTGCACCGACACCTGAACTAATGATAGGGAGTGAAGTAGTTGAGCGTGTTGACAGCTTCACTTATCTTGGGAGTCTCATCAGCCCTTGTGATCTGGCGTGTGACGAAATCTCAGCACGGATACAGAAGGCTCGTCTAGCTCTCGCCAACTTGCGTCATTTATAGCGTAAGCGAGATATCCATCTAGCAACAAAAGGACGGGTTTACTGTGCAGCAGTCCGTTCCGTCCTACTTTATGGAAGTGAAACATGGCCGATAAGAGTAGAGGATATTCGTAGGCTACTAGTGTTCGCTCATAGGTGTCTTCGAAGCATTGCTCGTATATCCTGGGACCACCGATTAAGTAATGCAGTTGTTAGGAAACGGGTACTAGGTAAGGATGGGAAGTCGATTGATGAAGTAGTGGAACTTCACCAGTTGAGATGGCTGGGACATGTGTTACGTATGCCCAGCCACCGACGTGCAGTGCTTTATAGTGTAGGAGCAGGTTGGAAGAAATCTAGGGGCGGCCAGACCAAAACATGGCATAAATCCATGAAGTCACTGACAAGTGGACTGAGCCATGCTGGTAGGTGTAGACTACCTGGTTGGGATTCGCGAGATGATAACAACCGATGGTTAGAGACCTTGAATGACATGGCTCAAAATCGTTTGCAATGGCGAAGGTGCATCCACTCTTTGTGTTCTACCAAATTCTAATCTTCTGAATTCTCTATATTACTATCCTTTTTCTCTTTCCAAATTTATTTCATTGTATTATACTCCTTGAATAACATCTTCAAACCCTTCTTTCATATAACGGTGTCTACCCCAATCGGAAAACGCTGGAACGTCACGCCCTAAATCATATCGACGCCCTGCATTCGGACATAAATGAGATACAGATGAATGTTTTCTGCAGAAAGTATGCAGTGGATGACTTAACGGAGGATTTAAAAATACCTTTCATGGTCTATGTTACTAATGTTATGGATCATAGATCAGGGAAGAAACTCATTCAGCTTTTGAAAGGTCTGGAACATCACACAGCTGAAAGCAAATTTCCAACTGACTCTAAAAGGTATGTCCATAATTTCTCGGATGTCGAACTGGATAACGATAAACTAGAGGTATTATCCTTAGGTCTAAAGTTTTGTGATAC